TTCTAGTTCGAAAGAGGGATGAATCGATTCGATTTTGCGTCGACTACCGGCTATTAAACAAGGTGACGCGCAAAGACGTCTATCCATTACCGTGCATCGACGACGCCCTTGACAGCCTCCAAGGAGCCGAATTCTTCTCCTTCTTAGACTTTAGATCTGGATACTGGCAGGTTCCTATGGCAGAAGCTGATCGCCAGAAAACTGCGTTCATTATACCAGATGGCCTGTACGAATTTAACGTAATGCCATTTGGGCTTTGTAATGCTCCTGCCACATTTGAACGACTCATGGACAACACACTGCGTGGACCGGAGTGGTCTGTGTGTCTATGCTACCTCGACGACATTGTCGTTTTCTCTCCCGATTTTTCTACACATCTGCTTTGGCTCCAACTGGTTCTGACGTGCTTAACCAGTGCTGGGCTCCAACTGAATCTTAAAAAGTGCCGCTTCGCCGCGCGAGAGCTGTCCATCTTGGGGCACATTGTGTCCAAGCATGGTGTTCTACCCGACCCTGCAAAACTGCGAGCAGTCGCTGAGTTCCCGAAACCTACTACACTGAAAGAATTACGCAGTTTCGTCGAACTATGCTCGTACTTCTGGCGCTTCGTTCGAAATATTGCGTCGATCATGTCACCACTGACCAACCTCCTACGCGGTGACGCTGACCTTTCATCCTGGTCTCCTGACTGCGACGTCATAGTTTGCCACGCTCCGTAGTCTGCTAACATCTCCTCCATTCTTCGGCATTTCGACCCAACAGCTGCAACGGAAGTTCACACAGATGCTAGCGGGGTCGGTCTTGGCGCTGTCCTCACCCAACGCAAGCTGGGCTACTCCGAATACGTCGTTGCTTATGCGAGTCGCACACTCACTAAAGCTGAGTCCAATTACAGCGTCATTGAAAAGGAGTGCTTAGCGCTAGTGTGGGCGCTTCACAAGTTCCGCCCTTATTAGTTTGGTCAGCCATTCGACCTGGTAACAGACCACCATGCGCTTTGCTGGCTCGCCACATTGAAAGATCCTTCTGGCCACCTAGCTCGGTGAGCACTATAAATCCAGGAGTACGACATGGACGCAAGAATTCTGATGCTGACGCCCTCTCCTGTTCGCCTTTACCTCCCGACTCGGCCTGTAGAACCACTGGTACCAACTACGTCGCATCTCTCGACCTCGACTTCCTTGCCAGTGAACAACACAAGGACCCGTGGATCGCTTCCCATTTTGACTGTCTCTCTGGATTGTCAACCACTGCGGTATCACGATCTCTCCGACGTCAAGCTGCTCATTTTGCCATTTGTGATCAGCTGCTACACCGACGCAACTACGTTCCTGAAGGTCGTAAGTGGCTCTTGGTTGTCCCCCGCAGCTTGCGATCCCAAGTATGCGCCATTTTTACGACGATCCCCAATGTGGCCATGCCGGAGTTTTCAAAACTTTCTAACGCATTTGCCATCGCTTCTATTGGCGCGGAGTGTATAATTTTGTTTGAAAATTCGTTATGGGCTGCCCTGACTGTCAACATCGCAAATCACCGCCTTTCCACTTGTCTGGTGCACTTCGACCGCTTCCGTGCCCTGCCAAACCTTTCGATCGGATCGGAATTGATCTCTATGGCCCTCTACCGACAACATCAGATGAAAATCCGTGGATCATAGTCGCTGTGGACCATTTAACATGCTACGCTGAGACCGCCGCCCTTCCAGGTGCCACTGCGCGGGACATAGCGTCCTTCGTCCTCCATCGCTTCATACTACGACATGGTGCACCTCGAGAACTACTAAGTGACCGAGGTCGAGCATTCCTGTCAGAAGTTGTCACGGCTCTGCTTTCTGAATGCCATGTTGTTCATCGCAAGACCACGGCATAGCACCCGCAGACTAACGGGCTCACGGAAAGATTTAACTGCGCCCTCGGCGATATGCTCGCGATGTATGTGACATCTGATCATACTAACTGGGATCGCATTCTTCCCTTCTTCACGTTCGCATGCAACATCGCGGCACAGACTACCACTTGATTTTCACTTTTCTTTCTTCTTTATGGACGCGAACCATCCCAGACTATCGACTCTCTCCTTCCATACCGTCCTGACGCATCCGAATGCCCATCTGTGTCCGAAGCTTCCCGAAAAGCGGAAGAGTGCCGTGAATTCGCACGCACCTTTACGTCACAAGAACAGCAGCGCCAAAAAGAAAACAACGTCGACTCTTCACGAAGCCACAGCTATTCCCGGGATCACTTGTATGACTGGCTGTTCTTTACCAAACCCTTGGCCTTTCATCAAAACTCGTCCCGAAGTACGAGGGCCCTTACCACGTTTTGGAGCAAACCTCGCCGGTGAATTTTCTTATTGAGCCACTTTCTCCATCTGACGACGTGCGCCGGCGTAGACGTGACATTGTCCATGTCGCCCGCCTTAAGCCATTTCATAGCCCTCTGCCTCCAGACACTTAGGTCGCCAGAATGGCTTGTGAAGAAGAAAACGCATCGTTGGCAAGCAACATCGCCACCGCTTAGGTACTGAGTTCTGGGCTTCTCTCGCTTGACTTGTGCTGATCGTCGCCGGCATCTGCTTGACCGTTGCTCTGTCCCGATCGTGTTTTTATCGTAGGGCCACCGTCGCAGCACACGCCAATAAACACCCTTTCACAAGGAACAAAAATAAATTGGGTTTTACCTATATTCCTGTTAGTATGAATAAACAGTTTATATTAGTGTCAGTTTGCACAACCGGTTTTGAGAGATGCGTTGGTTATGGAAAAAGCTAGGGAGGGAGATGACTTCTGTCCAACTAGCCTGGCATACCGAAAATAATGGTCAACTTATTCGAATGCTTCACTCGTCATTGTACATTTTCCACAAACCCCAACACTATACATCGTACTAAATGAAGGCTGAATTTTGCCTTCTTTTACGCTTACAAGCGAGAGCTACAGTGCGAAGCTAAAGACTATTGAAAAAGCAACAAGGAACAATGCCAACTTCAAGATACGATACAGGGTGAAAGCGCAGACTAGGACAGAGAAGTGGCTTGATGCACACAAGTGCTGTGTGTCAAGCCTCTTCTGTTCTCGCATCATGTGCTTTCGCACTGTATCACGTCAAACCAACGAGTCCAAACAGTTGCCCTAGTGACCAACTCTAAGCTTACAGTTGGCAATTTCATTTTAGTTGACTATGTTTTTACATGCTATGTCACAATGAAGCTGTATGGCTAGTTAGTTGTTGTTACTGTCATCTCTTTGACCATTATCTTCAACTTGTCACAATAATCTTGTCATTAGTCGCGTCATACAAACTACCCGCTCTTTTGCTTTCATCACTGAAGCTAGCAAGAGAGAGTGTACTTCAGCGTCTTTGTCCAGTTGTCCACATGCATGGTGTGACAGTGCCCCGAGCATGTGTGCATGTCTTTAGTGCATAGTTTTGGTTATTGGGTTGGACCAACACCAAATGCAACTGTCATTTCCGCAGGGTATTGCTTCTTGTCATGTTGAGCTCACAATCATACGAGTGCGCTCTTGATTTACAAGACTGACCTTCCTCTGGTGGGAGGGAGGTTTCGTTTCCGACTACCTGAACATTTAATTGATAATTGCTGGGATTTTAGATCTCAAAACCACAACACGATTACGAGAGACGCTGTAGTGGTAGGCCCTGGAAATTGCAATCGACGTGCACCTAAATCTAAGCCCACGAGCCTCTAGCACTGTCCCTCCGAAGAAATGTGGCCGTCACAGGCATGATTCTTGTCTACAAACCTTTTGAACATTGCCTTTATCGATGCACTCACTCATTATTGCTGTGCTAGGCTGTGTAAAGCATATGAATGCTTCATTATCAGTTCAAGACTTGCTTGAACCAGATTGCTTACTGGAACCGATCAAGCATGGCAATTAAATACTAGGAGGTCTGGATAACCTTAAAACTGTTGCTTCAAAGCCTGAAAGCAAGGGAACCAGGCCCTAAAAGTAACAGGATACCATTTTCTACGTGTGCAATGACATGACTTTCACTGCCGACCCTAGACATTGGTCAATTCACGCCACCTAGCATGTGCAAATTTTTTACAAACCTATGTAGAAAATTTGTAATGGGGTGAGGCACCAAGGGTACATATTAACATACTAATAAAGATTACATTCTTTCGATTTAATCTTTGAGGACAGGGCCTAAACGAGGAGCCTTATTTTTTGCAGCCTGTATAGCCTACAGCTAATAAAGGTTCAGAACAGCTAAGGCGCAGATATTTTAGTAGATGCTTTCGCTTTAATGCTCTGAACACATCTACTCACTTTTATTCAAAACGGTAGTGATTAGACTGCAATTTTTACGGCTATTACATCCATAAGAACTGTCAAAGTGCATGTACCAAATAGACACAGTTAGCAGAGCCACTTTTCAAAAACTATCATGTGAAGCCTGCATAACTATACACCCACTTTCCAATTACCACCTTCCATTAAATCATAGTGAAGCATGGCAGATGTTAGTTTTTTTTCCCACTAGAACACTAGCAAGACAGATTGTGCTACTGTCAATGGTGCAGTTCATAGTGCATTGTCAATTTAGCTTGCCATAGTGAAGCAATGTACTTTCATATCTGGATGAAGAGTGTAAACTACTTGATCAAAGAATGTCAATTACCTTCAGCAAAATGCTTCTGTGCACTACTACTCGAATTTATCTCTACCCAGCAGCAAGTGGAGCTCCAGATAAAGCACCCCACTCACTTATGATCTAACTTTACATTAAATATTACATTTTCTATCTCCACCTCTCACATATCGAAGGTCTCTCAAAAGCACAAGTTGTCTTCAATAATGTAAGGACCTTTCTGCACTTAATCCTACCATTTGGCACTGGAGATGGTTGAAATAATGTTTAATGCCCTCTAAAATTTAGCTCATTACAAGCCGAGATCATGCAAGCTTACCAGCCACCAACTGTCACGAGCAGTAAATGTGCTAATCACCATTTTAAGACAGACACCACAAGAAATTGACAACTCCTTTAATGAACAGCACAACTGTTCCAAAAGCATATAATAAATAGTGTCCAATGTACAGGAAGGTGGGGAACACTTCTAGGCTTTTTTTTTTTTCCTCTCCTGCATTAGGTGGACAGCTTTACATAAAATGACAACAGGCACAAGAGGTTCCTTCTGTCAACGAGCTCAGATACACTTTCACTGTTGGTTCTGTAAGTCAATGTTCAAGGCCAAGGGCTGCAGAGGATGGAGTTGTCGATGCCTCTGTCGGCACCACTTGGCCGTCCCCCGCCGAAGGCCAGGTCTTCTGTCACAGCTCTCATACATTCACTGCAACAAAACAATTGGCGAGCCTCTATACAAAATGCAATTTGATATACAGAATAGACAATGCCAACTGCATACTTACGAACTGCAGATGTAATACATGATCACAAGATAAACAATGTATTGTGCTTCAAATGACAAATTTCACACCATTCCACCAGCATAATGCGAGAAAACAGTGGAATGCCTTTGGCACTATCAGAAAAATTTGGGAACGTTTCTGCGATCCACATATTTTTTTTTTTATGAAAGTCCGCCTACTAGCATGGCTTAATATTAGGCTTAACAAAGAGATGAAAATTTATAGCCCAGGAATGACAATGCAACTGAAAAAATAGAAATAGATTTGTCAACACTAGTATTTCCTTTTGAATTTAAGTTCAAGGCTGTTACTGCAACAGTAAAAATGTCACTACAAAGCAACTACACCGTACCATTTTCTCTTCATCCAGACCATGCTTGAAGAACATCATCACCGCCTTCTCTCCTCCACCATCCTGTTCACGGTACTCCAGGAGGCCGACAATACCCTCGGCATTGCAAGATTCACCTGCAGTGATCAAGGAAACTGCTCAATAATTTGCTTTCAAAGAGCTTAAGCATGCAAGGGAAAGAAGCAAAATGTTGCACTATCATGTCAGCTAAGTAGGACTTTTGTACTGCTACTCAACTGTGCCAAATGATGTGCCATGTTTAGTGTAGCATCCTTTTGAATCCAGAAGACACAGGCAGAGTACTTCTGGGAGTACAAGATGCACGGCAGCGGTGCAGTTTACAGAAACTCAGTTTTGGAAGAAAAAAAAAAGTCGATTTTTTTCAGGAATGCTCAAAAGCTTTTGAATAATGCATTCCGACCAAAGCAACATCTTGCAGGCTATTTCAATGCAATGTTGTAATCTCAGGCGCTCACCCAGAAAATGAAACTGCCAGTGTTGTTATCACATGCTGCATAATCCAAGGCAAAAACACCAGAAAAAAAATTGACTTATGGCAGTGAGACATCCTGGGCAGCGCACCTGTGCCGGCATTAGCTATTCCTGCTTTGTCATTATGTTCACAGTAATTATCCACTGTGCCAATGCGAGGACACAGATACAAATACATGAAAGCAGTGAAGCCCACTACAATGAAGTCTGTCTAGATGGCAAGACTGAAGAGAGACTACTACCAGTACGATCAATACAGCTAGTTAGCTCGTACAAAAACAGGCAATTCGAGCTTAGTAGGGGTGCTCATCAACCCTACTAAGTTAGCTTTCTCCCATAGTTGTGGTGTCTCCCATAATCTGGCGTAACTATTTGCTTGGATGTGCCTGTGAGAGACATCAGCCATGCAATTACCATGCAGGTTTCAATTTTTGGCAGGGGCAGAGATTACCTGCTCAAGATCATGACGTGAAAAGTTGGAGCGTCAACTCCGCAACGTGGCACAACGATATGCTGTTGTTCACAATACAATTCAGCTAGCAGGCATGCCATACTAAGGTATGGCCAGTGTGTGTGTGCGCACTTTTCTTTTTTCACTGCAGTATGCCGTGCCCTTTGAAAATAAGAGACTACACCCTATCACATACACAAAACGCACGACAACCCAGCGTCGCTGCAGATGTTGAAGAATGCAGCACACTAACCTCTGCAGTGTTGAGAAGTCAACAATCGTATGCATTCGTCCAGCACCTTACCTATGTCCTTGACCTTGAACATTTAAGATCAGCGTATTTGGAATTCACACAAAATATGTCAGAGAAGTAATCAAATATATTTAGAGTACGCGCTTGTCTGTTTTATCTCTACGATCAGATGGCACCATTGTGGAGGTCACTCAAGTGGCTCCAGTAACCAGGGAAAAGGAAAGGTTGTGACTGACAGGGCTGAATGTGTAGATACAACTGGATGTTTAGTGTGAGCAATGTACGCCACCTTTAACATGATGCCCAGCTTACTGCACACAGACCTGGTACATAATACAGAAAGTTTATGGCAAGTCATCATTGCCCTTTTAATCTAAGGACATGGCACGAATGGTGCAAGGTTGTCAAATTTCCATAGAGTGTCTGCTCTCAGCACCTTACGTCCTCAAGCTCTGCACGGGCCGGGCTGACAAGACTTTCACAACAGCCAGTTTGAGCACATTATTATGCCGCATGAGGTCAGGTCTGAATGTTTTTGCTTGATGAATATTTTCGAAATTGCTGGGAAATTTCTGCTATTACGTGACAGGAATAATTGCTAGCTGGCTTCATATCAAGTCTGTAGAAGCCTTGTCCAGGTGACTGAAGCACAGCAGTGTCACCTCCTCAATCGAGTCCTGCCCCTGCACACTGCTCCAAAGACTGGGTGGGGTCACACCGCCTCGCTCATGACAGTCTGCGGAGCATGGCCATAGATGTAGGCTTTTGTGCACCCCCCAAGAAAATCAAACTTCTAAAGTCTATCAAGCTATAGAGATAACAAGGAAACCTGCCAGAATGGCCCATTGTTGAAAGAGTATGAAAAGCACCGATGTAGAGAGGAGACTCACCAATGAAGAACTGGTAGTCGTCCAGCTTGGGCAGCACCTTTTTAACAGCAGTGGTGAGTTTGCCCTTGGCGTCATCAATCTCTTCGGCAGACTTGCCTTCTTCCTTCCACTTCTCCTGAAGGGCCTTGGTGTAGGTCTTCAGGTAGTTCTTGTAGTCTGCTTTGGTGAAGCAGGTTTCGGTGAGCCTCATGTTCAGCACCAAGTCGAGACCACTCTCCACGTTCTCATCTGTGCCCTCGTCAACCTCCTCAGCAGATGGATTCGCACCATCCAGCTGGATCTCGCCCTGCTTGCGAGTCACGTGCTGCATACCAAAAAAAGGCAGTGATGAACATGTACACCAAGAGTGACAGATCAAGCATGTCAAACTGTTCACTTGCATGAGGTAGCGATCACAAATATGCAGCAGATGCCATATGGCAGTGAATCGCTAACTGTTCTTTACTGTGCACCTACATGGCGAAACCAGACTATCATCATGAGGTCCATCATAGCGGGGACTCGAGATTTATTTTGACTACCTGAGGTTCTCGTAATGGACACGATCTGCAACAGCGAGTTTGACAGCAGTTTACTATGGGTTACGCACATTTACATAAAGCACTAGGTTTAGGTTGGCCACAGGAACCAGTAAGAATTCGGACATGCTAACACCAACTGGCAACACTAAACTCTGAACATAAGGCCTCAAAGAAATTTATTGCTTTCTGTAAACGCAGCCCGATAGTCTGTCACTGCGTTGGCCGTATAGACACGCATGCTGTCATTGCTTAGTGACAAGTGCATAAAAAAAAGCACGAGTACGTCCTTTGTGGCGGCGGGGAGATCACCGCACGTACTTAATTCTGAGACTCGTTGCGGCACCACTGAGTGAAGCCGAAATGCCTCACAGACAACAAGGGCACGAGATCACTGACCATCCCAAATGACGTCACGACGGTGACGGCACGCCTACTAACGAGATAGCGTACCTACACGACACGCAAGCACAGCGCCAAGGACTTTTTTTTTTTTTTTTACTTGTACCACTCAATGCGAGCCGGCTTTTCCGCATTAACGCGGCACGATATAACAGCAAATGCAACACCTCGAACACTACGCAATGCCAATCCGACAGCTGCGCGGTGAAACGCGGAGAACCGTGAAGAGCGAAATAAAGCGGGCTGAATTCCAGTCCCGAAAAGGCGGTTAGATCCCTCGATCATACAATGGGTAGGGTTCGTGCAATCGTTTCGAAACGAACAACGCAGCGGGAATGACGTAACACTGGTGGTCTTGTCATACGACGTTCCGGTTTGACAAGAGCCGCAGCTCGCGTAGCTACGCAGTTCAGGTTCAATCCACCGCCGGGCTGAATATGAAGAATAACTTACGTGACATTCGATTTCGTAGATGCAGTCATCCACCAACTTGTACTTGCTGGAATCGGTGAACATCTCATCGCCTGCGTAAACGACGTTACGACGACATTACATTCCCGAACTAACGTTCGCGAGTTAAGAAGCAATCATCGAACTACGCTTACCGGAGATCTTGTCCTTAAAAATCAGCATGGTTATTTAGATGAAGTGGGATTGCGCCCGCTGCTCTAAGACAGTACACCTTCGCCTTCGGCAGCAGATGGGGGAAAAGGACTCTTCGAGAGGTCGCTTCGCGCTTAAATAGCATCGACAATTCATCTAGCCACGCTTGTCGGCTTTAATATAATTTGCCAAATTTATATTTGAAAACGTGTTTTAGACACACCACTGCAAAAATTAAAAAAAGTGAAGAGAACATGGTTTTGATAAAAAAAGAAAAAAAAATGCTGACATTGATTTTACGTCATTGTTACGCAGAGATCTCGGACGTCTGCAAACTAACAAAAGCCAGTTTGGATCAGCTTTTATGACGTATTCAAACTTCATTCCAAAGTTATTCTGAAGGATCAATAACACACGTATAACACATATATGTGTGCTTCAAACATTTGATAAAACTTTAGTATAAGGACAGTCAAAATTTTGAACTAACTGTCATGTTAAAACCATGAGTTATTCAGTATGTAAACATCCACTTCAAAAAAACAAGAAATTCCAGTCTGAAAGGCCATTGTTTCGCTAACTGCGTGCGGCGGAAAAGGTTGCGAGTGTTACAGAGCCCTTTAGCTAATTTAGCCAGCGCCCTTTGTGTCACCAACCTACCAGCTGTCGTGAATAGTCAGTGGCATTGTGCGAACATCAACAGCCGCCATCATGCTTGCCTGCCGCCAATTACATTTTTGAAAACAGTTCGCCGCAGTCCCATAGCCTGCGTCTGTAACTATCAACACTCGAAGAGGAAACCGACCCGAAATGGCCGGGTAAGCTTTTTTTGTAACCTACAACGCACAGTTGTTGCAGCGTAGAGGTATTTAAGGTGTGGCACCGTGTGGCCACGACTCGGTACTCTTGGTTCTACATTCAAACCGAACCCGCATAATACTGCTCGGTTTGAGCGTTTTCGCGTACCAGCTCACAAATCACATAAATCAGTAGCCTATCCTGTCTCTACTTTTACACGAAAGAGTACTTTCAAAATCCCCTTTTATTTGCGTGTAAGATCGGCTCAAACGAACGTTCCTTTAGTCCTCGTCGGTTTTTTTTTTTTGCCGTTTTTTTTTTCTTGTAACATCTGACTTTTATCTCTTTGTTCGCCTTCCCGTGCTTGCTCGTTTGTTGTTTTTTTACGTGTGTGTGTGTGTGTGTCTTAGTCTCAGTGAGAAAAGCGTGTCATATTGAACGCCCACATGCCCTGCAGTTTGAAGCGATGCAGTTTTAGGACGCTCTCGATCGGCGTTGAACATTAAGAAGGCTCTAACACGAGTAAGCTAAACTGAGTGTGCGCCTTACTTTTAATTAAATAACTGTTCAGCAAAGGTTGACGATTTGATTTGTTGAGTGATGTAAGTCTGAGTTTTTCGGACCTGTAAATATAACTCAGCCTTTAAGCTTGTTGCAGCTATTACAAAATATCAGGTAACAATTTGCGCGATTCTTTTCCGACCTAGTGCCCTCAAGTTTGACTTTAGCGAAAAGCTTTCCGAATTAGTTTCTCACCGTTAGTGGCAAAGGGCCCCAGCTGTTGTTAGGCACAGAAGAATATTTACAATACTACCTAGTGTTTCGTTTTAGCTTTCTCTCCAACTTGAGGTGAATTCGCCCAAAAGTCGAAAACTTTGACCTACACCATCACACATATTGTGAACACAAAACTATTTTAATAAAGGCAAAATATTCAATGAAGCTAGAGTATTATGTGCAGTATTTTCGGAAACCTTAGTTTTACCTCGGTCAGAGCAATGCCCAGTGCAGTCTGTTTTGTTTGACACAAAAGATACTGCTAGATTGCCCTGAAGAGGAACTATTTCATAATTGATTGTGCACCTTCTCTTCTTCTAAACAAACTCATAGCATTGCTCGTTAGTATAAAATTGCTACCCATATATTTGAATGAGAGGCACTGGAAGTTACTAATCTGCAAAAATGCGTGTCATGCGTTTCAGGACCTCTTTCAGCCTGGCATCTGCGCTTGCGCAGCTGTACGAAAAAACAGGCGAAGGCCACCAGGAACTTGATGACGAGTACGAACGTGCGCTAGGTCACGTTGAAAATGTCTTGAGCAATCTAAGCGCAGCTGCAAACTCTGTGTAAGTAATTACTTTGCTTTCTCTTCTTATGTTCATTATGCTTTAGTAGAATTAAAACTTAAGTTTGGCAGTAATTGAGTCGGCAAGTCGTAGTGGGAAAGGGTCATTGCTTGAATTGGATTTTGTTGAGAAGTACGATAATTAAAAGGCTGCCCAGCAGGTTTCAGAATTTTTAAGTAGCAGGCATAACAAGCAAGTCATACAGTGATTATTGTGCCTGCAAGGTGTGAAGGTGGTTGCATGGTATGAGTGCAGTCTACTTCAAGCAGTAGGCCACATGTTCTTCATATTGAGAGAGCCACGCTTTAACGCTGCTTCTTGCAACAAATGCACAAAGGTATTATGCTAAATGAGACAAGGAAAACATAAAAAACACCGACCAAACGGTTTAGAAGCGGCTAGACGTTCCCGCTTTCATACAGAAGCAAAAAGCTTTTGAAGCGTGCTATTTCTGGCATTTCATACAAATTATCCACTGTGTAAAGCCTGTTATTGAACTTGTGCAAACTGTTTGACTGTGCGTTTCTTTTTCTCAATACCCAGTGAGTGCGAGTTCACAGTGCCAAAGACGCCTGGCCGAAAGCTGAGAGCTCGCATCAGTGCCAAGAACTCGTATTCCTCACAGTGAGTCGCCAGCAACTTTTATTGTCTTACTTAGTGTGAGCACGTTTTCAGATGAACTCGGCAGACATCCTTGGGCAACAGTTTTGAATGTTTAACAGCAGAGCTATTTATTTTAGTGGTCTTTCGTATTCTGAGACAACAGTCACTGTCATGAACCACCATGCACTCTCGTCGTCTTCTTCATGTCCTGTTTCGCCCACAGAACATGTGTGCTGATTAGCCCATGATGCATGACTCTGATGGTTGAGAGAGTGAGTAGAGAGAGAAAGGGAAAAAAAAAGATTTCTGGAGAAAGTTTCTTGATGAGATGAGATTCGAACCTGCAATCCAAAGGCGAGCATCATAACCACTCGGCTATCCTGGCACGCTAGCAGAGTGTAACATAGCCTCATATAGTATAGTAATAGTATGGTGGGGGGGGGGGGAGAGGTGAGGAGAGTAAAGTTAGGGTGAGGAGGGGACAAAGGGAAGTATGTCATGCCAAGGAAGAACGTGAAGGAAAACTGAAAAAAAAGAGGTAGAAAGAGGAAGTGAAAAATATAGAGAAAGAAAAGGCTGCCCAGCTTTGCTGTTCCTTCAGGCTTGACGCCATTAGTGCGAAGCTGTCTTGAGCTTTTTATGAAAGTAACTTGAGACGTTCATGATTACAGATATCAGATCTTTGGTACTGCTGACGCTTGTGTGGCACTTTCTTTAAATGACCGCTGGCGCTTGACATTTGTTTACAACTTTTGTTCTTTAATGAGAATGTTTTTTTCGCAGTCTCAAAATTAAACTGTAAAAGGGCTCTGAGATAAGATATGAATAAGGCTAGCATCGATGATTATGACCAATTTTCGCAACGCATCGGCATGCTCGCCCAAAATCGTCGGCAACTAGAGCATCACCACAATGGTGCTCAAGTGTACTTGTACGATTACATGCACATTGCTTGAGCTGTCGATATTATTGAGACGGCGATTTTTGGCTGGGAGCACTAGATTTAGGAAGAGAATGACATGGGTGCCATGGGATCAACCATGGTTGTGATACACCACACTTGTTCTTTTGCCAAAAGTTGAATCTGTCTTAACACACGTACCATAAAGCAACGCAAAACGCACCTGCCTGCACAGACCCCACTTCATGGTCAGAAGTGTGCCCCTTCTAAAGAGAGTTCCTCACTGCACGATTGAAATGCCAGTGACACACACTCGAAACCACCATGAGAGCAGCGAAACGAAAGAGAGAGAAGCGGACGCAAGAACCCCTTCGCTGCACACCAGTCTTGCAGGCATTGTGCGTGCCTCACGAACTTTCTTTTTTTCTGTGACATTGATAGTACTCATAGAATAGGCGAAACGTCACGAGGAGCCCGAGCTCCCTGCAGCGTTCAATTGGTGCCGGTGTCGTAAGGTGCCACCAACTCAGCGTTACTTTTTTATTATTATTTACAAATACTGCTGTCTCGGTTCCGAGACATAGCAGGAGTGGGTACATGTTTTAGTACAAAGAAAGTACAACAAAAGAAACGCTAAGATTATACAAACAAGATGAAGAAATGATAAACTTACATAGCTTGAACAAAAAACTCTTATCAGGTGCAAGTACAGATGTAGATAGGAACTCGGAAAAAGAACAACCACTAAGACAATGCAAAAACAGCTGAAAACTATATGGAATTACGTAGTTTCTCAACGAACTCTTCATGAGTCAATGCGCGAAACGAACCATCCAAATTGTTCCAGATTTCAACAGTGTATGGAAAAAATGAATACTTAAAACAGTCAATATGTGCCCTGAAAGGAATAATGTTTAGTCTGTGGGTTTGTCTAGTGACACGTGTATTAGCGGGTACAAAAGAGAACGGTGCTTGAATACCGAAAGGCGTGTGGACGATCTTGTGCAGCAAAATTACGCGTTCGTGTTCGCGCCTATGCTCCAAAGGCTGCAATGATAACATGTGCGCATGTGATGAAGGTGAGAAGCTGCGATCGTAGCGACCGAAGATGAATCTGATAGCTTTTTTCTGGATTGATTCTAGCTGAGTTATGTCACACGTGAGGTGAGGAGACCACACAGTTGAGGCGTATTCGAGTATCGGACGGACAAGTGATTTGTAGGCAGCCAGTTTACATTCTAACGTTGCATTTTTTAAAGTTCGCTTCATGTAGCCAAGTTTTCGAAGCGCTTTAGCAGAGATATGGTTGATATGGGCATGCCATTTTAGGTTATGTGAAAAAATGACACCCAGATATTTGAACTCACTAACTTGGGACAAGTAACTACCATTAGTATTGTAAGAGTAATTCAGCGGCTTCTTTTTGTTTCCGAAAGTCATGGCGACTGTCTTGGTAAAATTGATTTTCATTTGCCACATATTACTCCATTGGCAGAACTTTGAAAATACCTTATTTAATTCTTCTTGATCACTAGCGTCAGAAACAATGCGGTACAAGACACAGTCATCTGCATATAGGCGCAATTTAACGTTGGTGTTATTAATAACACTTACTACATCATTAATGAAAATGACAAATAACAGAGGTCCCAGAACTGAACCCTGAGGGACTCCAGATGTGACTGTTACCGATGAAGAATGCGTGCGATTAAAAGTAACAAATTGAGATCTTAAGTGTAAATAGTCAGTGATCCAGTCTATTAATTTGGACCCTTTTAATATTGCTCGAACTTTACATAGAAGCTTTTCATGAGAGACCATGTCAAAAGCTTTCGAGTAATCTATGAAAATGGCGTCTAGCTGATCGTGACTATTGAGTGCAGAAGCTATGTCGTGAGTAAACTCAATGAGTTGCGTGACGGTGGAGAAACCAGAGCGAAAGCCGTGCTGGCTTTGTGAGAGGAGGCTGTGGAAAGTTAAATACTGTACAATATGTTTATGAATAATGTGTTCAAGAAGCTTACAGCAAGTCGAAATAAGAGATATTGGTCTATAATTTTGTATAAGCTGCTTATCACCAGATTTATATACTGGAACGACGCTGGCAATTTTCCAAGCTCTGGGAACAATTGAGGTTTCCAGAGATTTATTGAAGATCACTGTAAGATAATGGGCATTCCATTCTGAGTATCTCTTCAAGAACATGTTCGGTATGGCATCAGGTCCTGCGCTTTTAGTCGTATCAATTTTTAGCAACAGGTTATGAACCCCAGCGTGAGTTACCTCGAGATTCGGCAACGCGTGTTCTGAGCTATGTATAAAAGGAGGACGAGAACCATCATCTTGGCTGAAAACAGAGTGAAAGTATCTGTTGAAGCCTTCTGAAATAGTGGCAGGATCAGTGCAAGTTTGATCGTTGATAATGAATGCTGTAGAGTCATGAGAAGAGGGAAGTATTGATTTCCAAAATTTTGATGGGTTTTCTTTCATGTATGTTGTTAACGTCGTGTTGTAATAAAACTTTTTCGCTTCTGTCATTTTCGTTCTTAGCTCAGACTTCAGCGAAAAAAGAAATGGATCGAGGGGGTTTCGCTTGCGCATGCGCTTAATACGCCGTATGAGATGGATTATGTCACGTGTGTACCATGGATGCTTTGGGTTATGTTTTACACATTTTTGAGGGACGAACTGTGTCACACAGGTGCGCGCCAAATTATAAAACTGATCTAACAATGCATCAACACTGCATGATTCACTGTTTGCCATAAAATTATCGAAAGAGGATTCTAACAATTCTACAATCGCAAGATCATTAGCATGCGTGAAATCAGTAACGGTGCTGAATTTCGGGTTACAAGGTTCATGAGTCACGTTTAGTTGCAGCAACACACCCTTGTGATCAGATAAACCATCTATTATGTCACACTCAAAGCCATGTTGCAGCAGTTCTTCGTTAAGGAACACAAGGTCGAGAACAGAGTTATCTCTGGTTGGACGTTCAACCACTTGCGTTAAGTCAAAAGAAACAGCCATGTTAATCAGGGAGTCGCATAGTGCCTTTTCACGGCCTGTTGAAGTTAGCAAGTCCCAATCAATACAAGGAGCATTGAAATCGCCTGTGATGATCATTTTATAATTACTAATTCGGTTACGGGCTATGTATTCTGTAATATGTGAAAATACATCATCCTCAGAGCAGGGTGAACGATAAACAGCTCCAATCACCATCACGAAACCAGAAAGTTTTATGCGACACCAAACAGATTCAGTATTGGGAAGTTCAGGTAGCACTGAAAATTCGATGCCTTTCCTAATAAAAACAGCAACACCACCACCTTTACTGAATTGCCTGTCATTTCTTATCACCGAATAGGCTGGCGGCAAAAATTCGGAATCCGATATAGCGTTTTTCAGCCATGTTTCCGTAACACAAATAACTGAGGGGTGGTGACACTCTACTAGCCAATTAAAATCCTGAACCTTGTTAAGCAGACTGCGAGCATTTATGTTCAAAAGGGTTAGTTTCCGTTCACTACTGAGTCACTCTGTGCCCCTAGAAACGGTGGCACGAGGAGCCTGAATAAGTGTTTTGCGAGCACTGTCCCACGAGTAGCGAACGCTGTCGACTATCAAGGAATCGTATTGTAATCTGTATTTAGATGCCTGTTTACGGATATTAACCGAATGATCCCACAAGTTTTTGCGGATTTGCCGTATGCGTGCAGAAAAATCTTCGTTAATGTATATGCTGGTTCCTTTCAGCTTTCTGGCGTTCTTAAGAATTTCAAGCTTGGTTCTGAAGTCCAGTAGTTTAAAGATTACAGGGCGCCTCTTTTCACTTCCTCGCGTGCCGAGTCTGTGGCAGCGTTCAATGCCATCGCATTGAACTCCAATCTTGCAGGATAGCAAATTTGTCACAGAAACCAGCAACGTTTCGGAAGTTTCATTCGTTGGTTCATTCAGGCCATAAATGATCAAGTTATTCCTGCGGGATCGATTTTCAAGGTCATCATTTCTACGATCAAGTTTGTCGATTGTATCTTTGAGGTTTGCAACCGCTACTTCTAGTTCGTGAACACGTTGAATGGCATCATTTGCAGTTGCAGACAATGTTTCAATGTTTTCTAGACGCTGTTCAAAAGAAGTCATTCTTGAACTGAGCGTCGAAAGCTCATCACTAATTCGCTTCTGTCCGGTTATCAGTTCTGTGAGCATACTTTCTACCTTTTTATCTGGGCCGGGATTTAACTCAACATCGCCAGAGAGTTGCAACAAGATTCTCAGAGAATGCAGGAGACATGAAAATACACACACAAAGTGCTGAGGGTCTGGCAGCAGCAACAAGAAACGGTCATCGCTCCGATAACATTTAGAAGGATATATCGGACCTACCTGCAACAGGAAGCACACGTGTTTGAAAGAACCGTCAGCCATGCCGCTGCCAGACCCACTGAAGAGGATTGACCGTAGCGTCGGCTTTATATCATTTCGTGTCCGTGTCGATGACGTTCCAGTGCTGTGCCATGCGCACTCCGGTGAAGCAACAGCGAGGTCAGTCAGAAGAACAGTCGCATTGCCACCTGCCGGATAGCAGGCTTTACTGAAGGGAGGGCCATCAAAAGCAGAGTGGTTGAGAGGGAAACTTGAAGGTGAGACGGAGCTCAGAAAGTACGGGCCAGCGATGCTTGCGGCAATCTGCAACAGGAAGCACACGTGTTTGAAAGAACCGTCAGCCATGCCGCTGCCAGACCCACTGAAGAGGATTGACCGTAGCGTCGGCTTTATATCATTTCGTGTCCGTGTCGATGACGTTCCAGTGCTGTGCCATGCGCACTCCGGTGAAGCAACAGCGAGGTCAGTCAGAAGAACAGTCGCATTGCCACCTGCCGGATAGCAGGCTTTACTGAAGGGAGGGCCATCAAAAGCAGAGTGGTTGAGAGGGAAACTTGAAGGTGAGACGGAGCTCAGAAAGTACGGGCCAGCGATGCTTGCGGCAATCTGCAACAGGAAGCACACGTGTTTGAAAGAACCGTCAGCCATGCCGCTGCCAGACCCACAGCTTTAATATCGTGTTAAAACATGTTCAATACCGCGTTTGTCAATCATTTTTTATTATAGTTACAATGTCTGCAACTTAGTAGTGTAGTGCTTTGGGCATGTTGGTACATCATAGTGTAGTTTTTCAGCACACGAAAAAACACTGACCGAGAAAGACTTGATAGGCGCTAGTGCCTGTCTCGTTATCTTCTGTTTTTTTTTTTTTTTTTCGTGCTTTAGAAAACTATCGTGCAACTTATTGGAACAACACAAACATCTAAAGTTGGAAAGTTAGATGTCATGGTCTTTTAAAACACAAGCAGTGAAAAAAGATTTTGCTAGAATGAAGCATAAATGCTGCCTTGGATGGGAAAACATGCTTTCTCTCGTGTAGAAATGGCACTGTTATTTATTACTGAGTTATGTCTGATTGGTGGTTCTAGTCTGCTCAAGCATTACTGTGCTGAAGGTATATATCCATACAGACTTTGCTTGGCCTTTTCAGTCTTAGCGAGTGTACATGAAAGTTACCTGTGGGTTGTTGAAAAACATTTGTGTGTGCACGAGTACACTTATAAGCCTAGCTGTATGCCGTTTACTTTGTAACAAAATCTTCGCAAATTAGAATTAGGCTCTTGCTTTATTAAGGATAGTATGCCCTGTCAATGTTGTCATTTTAATATTTTTTTTATTGTAATAGAAGTAAAATTTACATGTACTAACTTAGTACATGTATTTACATGTACCAAGTCCTGTGCAATAAGATTATGTGTATGCTGTGCTTGGATCTGTTTATTTCTGTCACTCACAATTGTTGAAGTTTCATACACAACTCGGGTAACCTTCTCTACATGATTTTTTTTTTTTTGCATCCACATTTTACAGAGCAGCACAGAAGCGAAAGACTCTATCATTATCAAAGAGTTCCAAGCAGCAGAGTTCAACAAAGAAGAAAGTTTTAGCCGTTCAAGATGATGCAAAATCGTCCACGTCATCGGAGGACCCAGAGAAGGAAAATGCTGATGTCCAACCCAACTCTGCGGTGAGGCCTACCAGGGCTGCCAGTAAAAAGGCACCACCTGCTGTCAAGGTGGAGGATGCGTCACCAAAAGAAGATTCAAACCTTCGTCAGGTAAGCGGTGTTTTGTTTCAATTTATTAAACTTTTTTTTTTAGATGTGAAGCAGCTCTTTGATTAGCCTGTGTAATGCTGTCTGTCCGTGTTTCCATGCCAACAGGCCGCACCGTGCATCCCTCGCCGCAGGTGTTGTGGCCGTACCAAGTAGGTCCCGCTTTCTCTCGCAGTGCGCTGTGACGTCACTCTTTCCCTCTCCTGCCTTGCGCTCTCAACGTTCGTGTGCACATCGAGTGAACACTCTTTCGGCTCGTTTATGGAGAGGGTGCCGGAAAGCGAATCTCCTTCGCCCGCTAAAACATGCGTTGAAGCCATTTGGCCTAACCTGGTCGTCACCGACGTTGCGAGGGTTAGCAGAGCCGATCTCGTTTGCGAATGGCGATGTGCCTGTAACGCTGACAAGGCCCGAGCCAGGGAAGCCGAACGCAAGCGTCGGCAGTGGAAAATTAACGACAGCGAGGTGCGAGTCGAGCGCGCCGATCGTGTTCGAGAGTGGAGATGCCCCATGGGTAACACCGAGACGTGAGCCAAGAAAGCCAAGAGCAAGCGTCTTCAACGCCTCTGCAACACCGATGAGACGCGAGCCAGGGAAGCCGAGCGGAAGCGCTGACAGCGGAAGGTCAACACCGGCGGATTCTCGACGTTGCCGTTGTCGGAAACATCTCAAAAGCGCCGCGTCCCCTCATTCGAACCGCCCTCCTGCATGCGCCGGCCGTTCCTGAGGCGTTTTGCCACTGCAACGCTGATCGCGTCCACGTGTGGCGAGAGCCGTTCGCGGCGCCGTCAGCAATGCCGGGGCTGTCACCCGCTTCCGATGAGAGTTGCTCCAACGTAGCTTCAGTCACAGTTGCCGTGCATGTGACCGCCTGTGGTTTGACAACCACCTGTGCAACGTTGGTTTCGTCCGAAACCGTAAGCAGCTGAAGTGAGTCGACACGAGTCTGGTGCGGACTCGTCCGACTTCACAGTCTGCGCCACTTGCAAATAGTTGCTGGCAGTGGGCAAGGTTTCGGCGATGAGTGTCGCGCACGTCTCACCCGCTGGCACTTCCCGAGCTCAACCGTTCTTCCAGCACCCGCGTCGACGCCCGTTTCAACCAGGTCAACGCCGTGCGCATTATTGCTGCTTCACATTCCATCAGGGTTCCCTTCAGGAAGATGGTCCATAATTTTTCCAAAGTGTCACATTCTGCGTGATAGTCTTCTGAGGCGCAGATCTACTTCCGCTGCACCAGGCTGACTTGAATGAAGTGCTGAGACATGTTTTCAATGCATCCATTTCTCAAGCCATGCAATACTCCTAGTACGATGTGCTATAGTACCTGCCTGTGAAAAGGCCTGCTTTTTGCGGCAACAGCTAACCAGTCCACTTTAACTCGGTTGCTGTTGCTAGAATGAAAATTAAGTGATACTAGAAGGTGAGGATGTTAGATGCGGTCACTACCAAGTCAAGGTGAAAAAACTGAGACATTTTAGGACCCATACGGAATCCTTCACAGCCACGATAGAGCTCTAGCAAGAAAATGCACGAAAAGAAAGTGTGGGTGGAGACACCACCTTTAGATTCCTGTACAAAATGCTGTCACATCATAGATTTTGACAGCGTCTACTGGGTCCTACGCAGTTTCTAATTGGTCAGAAATCAAATACATTGTTATTTGTGGCTGTTGTAGACCTAACATATGAAGTTTCAGAATATTTTATCCAGCCCATGTCGCGAAAATATGAGGATTACATTTAAAAGTTTGTGACGTCATGTGCAGAGGTATCAGTGCAAAATTTAAACATGAAACATCAACGTTAATTTTCTCTGCTAATAATGAACTTATGATAGTGAAACTTGTGACAGAGTTTGCCAAGTACAGTTTATCAATCTAAACCTATTCATTGTTTCACTTTAATGTTCCTTTAAAAATGGCTCTAGAAAGCCTGCTCTTACAACTTTAACTGTAGTTGTGCTGCACATGCCGTGCAGGCCTGACATTTTTTCGACACCAGAGCACCTAGTTGTAGGGTGACATTCGTTAAATAACTGAAAGTACTTCCTCACTGTGCATTGTTTAGGACGGCAAACAGGAGCATTTACATTGTTTGCTAGTCATGTAATGACGTTATGCAGCTTTTTTTTTTTCTGCTTCTTGCACCACGTTTCATAACAGATCCTACTTGATGCTGTGCATTGTATTTATTCTTTCTGCAGCCCCTACGAAGTACAAGACAAACGCGGGCTCAGACGGCAAAACTGGTTTCGGCGACCCCGCCCCGTGGAGCAGGCGTTTCGCGAGCATTGCTCTTTACATCTGCTAATCGTGCTACAACGCCATCAAAGCAGCTCTTTTCGCCGTATGCAAAGTGTAGTGTGCAGGAGAAGGCAAAAGCCTTTGAGTCAAAGGAGCCCATTAGCCCCTTGCATGCCACTGCAAACCTGAAGAGCAGCAATGCAGCAAGAAATCGAACCAGATCTGTGGCTGTTACAGAAAAGGCTGTTTCGACACCCGTGCATCCTGCATCTGAACATGCTACCGAGGACAGTGTGCCTGGAACTCCGGCAAGTCCAAAAACACCAGCCTTGCGAACTGTTCCGAAATCTCCTTCGAAAAATAGTAGCGTAGAAAAAACTACAGCTGCCACCATTGAAAACCTGTCTTCCTCGGCGCCAGACACAGAGCTGGTAAAAGAAAGGCGCATCACAAGGGCTTCTGTTGCAGCTGCGTCAGTCGCCACACTGCCAAAGACAACCTCACCGGAAACGCCTGCTGGTATTCAGGCAGCTAGTAGACAGCATCCTGTGTCATCGCCATCGACTGCAGAATCGGACAATGACGATGATTGGGTGGAATCGCCTACCACACCGAAGCGAGCTCGTCTCGTCCCTACAAGCTCCCACATCGAGTCAGGTGTGAAGGTATGTTCACGTCAGCATGGTCACACAGAGCTTGACAAATAAAAAGCCATCTGAATTTTTTAAGTGCGATTCCCACAAGTCATTTTGACATTATAACAGAGTTCAAAGCTTGCCCATATGGCATAGTCATATGGCTGGATGTAATGACATTGCTAAAGCAAATACTTGAGTACTCTATGTGTGTCTCGCCTGCCATAATGCTCTTGTGGCTATGATGCTTGACAGCTGACCCGCAGGTCACGAGAATGAATCCCAGCACTTCGACGGCAGTGAAATGCTAGAGACCTGTATACTTAGGTTTATGTGCACGGTAAAAAATTCCAGGTGGTTGAAATTCCTGGAGCCTTCTTGTACAGCCTCCTTCGTGCTTATATTATTGTTTTGAGGTGTAAAACCAAAACAATTAATGCATACCTGTGTCTTGGCTATGCTTACATGTAGCCATGACGGCCAGCGCAAAGAAAACACGGTCGAGAAAAGGAAATGACGACACAAGCACTGTCTATCAACTGAATTTTAATGGAAGAAAATTTACAGATACAATATATATATATATTGGCAGGAAAAAGATGAACAAAACAGCACATGCCCCAAAGATGACCAACCGAAAAAAGGCTCATGTGAAGCTGCCTTATATTGTCTACTCCCACGTGCCGCTACGTATAGTTGACAGTGAATTGCGTTATTATTGTGTCGTAGAAGTGTGAGTATCCGTATTCAGTGTTGACATTTTGTATTCTTCCCCACCACTGTAATGCCCTTGGGCGCTGGGGGTACTGTGATAAATAAATTAAATAAATAAATAAAATGTGTACACTAACCCAATTTGGCACCTTTCAGCAAAGCAGCTTCGTTATCAATTACAGTGATAGAAGGGCAACTCATGCACGTGTCTTTCTTTATCATTTCGAACACCTCCACAATTTCCAGAGTATGCTGGCTCTTATGCTTAGTCACCTGCCCGTCTTTAGCTCGGGCGCGCAGCTGCACTGTCTGCAATAGAGGGCAATGTGTGGAGACCGCACGCCCTTCAAAGAGCTAGCATGCTCCCTCAAACGGATGTTCAAACACCATCCAGTCTGTCCTATGTAGGAACTATCGCAAGACAAGGGTATGGTGTGCGCAACACCATAAGCATAGTCAACAAACCGTGTGGCGTGTTCCATAGAGCACTCGCCATCTGCAGAAGTCACCTCTCTTTGTTACACTTTTTTGTCAGTAGAAGTGCTCATCAAACGCTTGCTTCCTCTGTTGTTACAGTACCAGGTATTAGTGATCAGATCAAACGCTTGCTTCCTCTGTTGTTACAGTACCAGGTATTAGTGATCACGAAGCTGTCCTTGTTAAAATATGCTTAGCTGTAGCTCAACAACAAGCTTTGGGGCCCAGAAAGGTGTTTTTTTTATGAAAAAGGAGACTACGCTTCTAATTCAACAAAGCTAGACACTTATTTACCTGAATTTCAAGAAATATGCTCGTGCTCTGACGTGAATGGCTTGTGGAATGAGCTAAAAACAAAACTGTTATCTCTAACTCAAACTTTTGAACCATCGCGAGTCATATGAGCCAAACAATGAAATGATAAACCATGGCTAAATAAGGAACTCCGAGTGCTCATAAACAAAAGAGATCGTCTCTATCGCAAATATTGTCACACGTCAGACCTTGAAAGAAACAGATGAAACTACTTGGTAAGAAGATAATCAAAGATCTCAGGAAAGCAGAAAGCATACTTGAGTGATCTGAGTATTAAAGTGAAAACTAACCCGAAACTCGTCTGGAAATATGTTAAAAGAAAGGCAAAGATTCCTGGTGGTATTCCTGGTATAAACAATGGTACTAAATACTTGTCGGACAGTACAAGTAAAGCTGAATACTTTAACCAGTACTTTCAGTTTGTGTTTTCGGTTTCGTCAGTGGTTCAAACTATCATGTGCAACACAGTAACGTTGTCAGAAATGACGGAGTTTGAAGTTTCAGAACAAGGTGTTGCATCTCTTTTAAAAAACCTTTGTGCGAACTCGGCATCAGGGCCAGATCAAATCTCAAACTTTATTTTAAAGAACTGTGCCCTTTCAATAAGCCCATTTCTTACAGCTGTGTTCAGAAATTCTTTATTGCAGGGTGCATTACCTGATGACTGGAAACGAGCAAATGTAATTCCTATTTTCAAGAGTGGTGACAAGTCAAGTAGTTGCAGCTATCGGCCCATTTCGTTAACGTGTGTGTCCTGTAAGACACTTGAGCATATTATATACTTGAACTTGGCAAAGCATCTTCAGACTAACAATTTTTTCTGTCCAACACGGCACGGTTTCCGGAAAGGGTTTTCCTGTGATACGCAACTCGTAGAATTTACACATGACATCACCGCAGCATTAAATTCCGGTAGCCAAATTGATTGCATTTTTTTAGACTTTAGCAAGGCTTTTTACACCGTTACACACTCGCTCCTTTTACTGAAATTATCGTGTCTCAATATATCTGCTAACACACTGGCATGGCTACAAGCTTATCTCTCATGCAGGAAACAATGCACCATCATCGATAGCGCGTCGTCACATGCTGACGTCATTTCAGGAGTGCCACAAGGCTGGGACCGCTTCTCTTTTTGATTCATATCAATGATCTTGCTGAATGCGTGGACAGTCATTTGAGGTTGTACGCAGATGACTGCTGCATATATCGTGAAATTAAGTGCACTCAAGATTCTGAACAACTGTACAAAGACCTTGACTCAGTAATAACATGGTGCAGTACGAGGAAAATGCAGCTTAACGTGTCAAAGTGCTGTGTCGTTAGGTTTACCAAGAAAAAACAGCCTTTTATCACAAATTACTTCATGGAAAGGATACCATTATCCAGGGTAAATGAATACAAGTATCTTGGCGTTGTCATCAACTGCACACTATCGTGGAATGATCATGTTCGCATGGTATCAGCTAAAGCCAGTTGCGTGCTGAACTTCCTACGCCGCAATTTCAGAACCGCCCCCTCTGTTCTTAAACAAGTTTTGTACATGTCAAATGTGCGCCCGATTTCAGAATATGCTTGCACTGCCTGGGACCCGGCCACAAAGTTAAATATTCATGCATTGGAGCGCATTCAAAAACGTGCCGCCCGGTTTGGGACGGGCGATTACGTCTTCACCAGAAGGTCTAGCGAAATTGTTAGTTCACTTGGTTGGCCGTTACTCTCCTCAAGGCGTAAATATATCAGGCTATGTCTTTTCTACAACCTAATAAATGACAAAACTGGGATCGATAAAAACAATTACATCAGACCACCAACATACATCTCATTACGACGGGACCATCCTTCGAAAGTGTGTGAATATATGTGCCGAACATCAACGCATGCAAATACTTTTTTTCCTAAAACTATTCACGAATGGAACAGTCTTCCAAAAACATTTGACCGCCCCTTCCACAGCGTTTCCTTCCCTTTTAAAGGAGTATATGGTCACACAATGATATTGTATGCTGTGATTTAGGTATTTTTTATTTGTTTTTTATTTTTTGAGTGCCGTGCAATTCAGCTTGTCCCCACTGATTTAAATGTACTTTGAATTTGTAAACCCCACTACAACAATGCCCCCAGAGGGCGCTGTAGGTATAAGTATAAATAAATAAATAAACATGCTTCCGAGCTTTCCATCAGCACAAAAGACAACATAGAACTAGTAATGACAGGCCACCTTCTTCAGCAGTTGGTGGTAAATAAACAAAACAGTTCAGATATACATGCATCACTGTTCTTGCAGAATGAAAGGTACGCCCCTAGAGAGAAAGGTACGCCCGCTCGTCCACTTCTTGGCATCTCCTGAATTTTCTGTGCCCGCTTGTATAGGTTCTTTTTTTCATTTTTGTTTCAATAAACTTCACTTGTTAGAGCTCATACAGCGTCCTCTTCTCATGCCCTGTCTTATTTGCATTGATTTTTACATGCATCGTTTCCAACTATCCCACCTTTCTACCTTACTGCTCTTAGCCTTTACTGACAAGGGAAGCACACTGAAAAACAAGTCTTTTCAGATGGTCTCTATAATATGACTAACAAAAAAAAAACTTGCCACTGTTTTAGTGGCAGAAGTGTTGTTAATGTCCTGTTTTTTATACATATCTGTTGCTGCCTTCTCATTCAGAAATGAAATGTTTTGCTCTTTTGAACACCAGCTCAGCGGTGTTCTAGGCTCCACCAAGGCAGGTGGAAAGGACCGGCCAGGACTTAAAACAGGAGCTGCACGCAAGATTTCAGCGTCTGTTACTTCCTCCTTCAGGTTGGCTCCCACTACTCCAAAGCAGGTCACGCCTTCAAAGGTAGCACGACCGCTTACCATGAGTGAAGCACGACAGGTAAACATTTTCAATGTCCTCGTGTAAGTGCTGTACCGCCTCCGGCTTTCTGCTGTCTTCCAAAGACATAGGGGCGCTATGCATTGTCTGAAACTTCGTTCTTTCAGTTTCCATTTTACTATAACATTTTAGTGAATGTAAACAGAAGTTTCAAAAGCTGTTTTCAGTTCACATAAGAAACAGTATCTTTAAAGTTCAGGGGGGCCCTGCAACTTTTCCAAGTAGCCATGGAGTGGATTCACTAAAGGAGCTTGTTGCTTCACGAATTCACCATTGCAAAATCTTTTAGAGTCCGTCCGGTATGAGCAGAGTTTAAAAGATTTGTCCCCTGCTGCAATTCACCTTTTCCATTTTCCTGTGCTGCCCTCCGGCCTTCTGGTAGGGTTCGGTATGGGCCAGGAGAACTGGCATTGCTAGAACGAAGGCCTCTGAGACCGGGAGTCGTTCACGATTTTTTCACTAGGGAAGTGCGCATACGCAGCGGTATTGTGAAAAAGGCGGATCGCATTCTCTTTTCTCTCACCCCAAAAGCACTGGAAGCAAGCAGGGAGCGATGGCAGGGCGGAAGAAAATACGTCGCGTGCACCTCATGACTTCAAGCACTTTTTTCCTCCTTTTTCTTCTCCTTCTGCGGATGTGCGGCTACGAAGTTGTGGCCTCCCACGGTGGCCCCAGTAACGACTGAGAGTGCCGTGCTCAAATCAGTCAATAGTTGATACTTGGCCTGTCAAGCAGTGATTTTTTTTAGTCTGGCGCATCGTTTGTAAAGACATGATTCGAGGCCGCGTGCTACACTATACTATTTGGCTTGTGTGTCATCGTGAGCCTGCACTACTGATTAGCAACGTTTTCTGACCATGTTCAAAAAGCATTGCAGGGCCCCTTTAAGCTAGAAAAATAGACTTCACTCTGTGGATCGTTGGTAAGGTCACTACCAACAATTTAAAGGTGAACATCTTTGACAGATATCTGTTGTTATTATTATGTTATTAGTATGAAAGTTCACCCAGCCAGAAAGACATCTGTCGAAGATGTTCACCTTTCAATCGTTGCTCTCTCACTATGGCTAAGAAGCAACCCTGCTAGCAGAGCGGTACATCAGTATTACATCATTGTACCACCTATCCGCCCTGCTAGCAGAGCGGATAGGTGGTACAAGAACCACCTATCCTTCACGAAGACAGGCCTGAACGTCATACCATGCAGCTTAGGCCTCAAGCGCCTTGTCCACGCGCCGTAGTGAAACAACATCATGGCTAAAGCTGAACGCCGACTTGTGAAATTCAGAGTACACAAATATCACAACATCATAAAGAAGAAAAAACTGGACTTGTATTTCCTTTGTAGGCGACTAGAATACCAGATGCCCAACGTATTCGAGTCCCTCGACACATTCGCAAGAAATGTCGCCGCAACAACAAACCAAACCAAAGGCCTTAGAGTAAGCTCACGGCACTGCAGAACAGCAAAGAGCCCCGAAACGGCAGCAAAACCACCAAAAGCCTTGTCAACCTCTCAACAAGACAACTATCGAGTCACGAAGCAAGCGTTTTTTCTGAAGGGCACAATTTCAATACAACAACCCCGCCACCTCTTCGACAGCTCATTGCAGAACAACCATAACCATTTTTCCAGCGGACAAGGGCAAAGCAAATGTTATACTCAACCGCGAATCCTATGAAGACAAGATAGAAAATCTTCTAAACAACCTTGAATACAGGAAACTCACGAAAAATTCTATGCCCAGAATTCAGTAGGAGCTAGACAAGCTATTGGCTAAAATTTTCAAAAACCACCCAGAATCAAGAATACTTTACTTGCGCCTCATATGCAAAAACGGTTCAGCGCCGGGATTCTACAGCCTTCCTAAGATCGACAAACCGGGAATACCGCTGTACCCGATAGTTGACTTCCAAACATTACCACTTCGCATACTATCTATCTACACAGGACCCTGTCGCCACTAGTGGGGAACACAGCCACACATGTAAGAAACTCGGCGTATGTCTGAGGTGACAATCAGCATTGTTGAGAGCCTTGTGTCTTTCGATGTGGTTTTTTTGTTCACGAGTGTGCCCGTACTCCTCGCAGTCTCAGTTGCCCGGACCGCCCTGGAGAGAGATGAAAACTTCAGCGAGAGGACGAACCTCAGCACAGACTAACTGGGCACTTTGATGGAATTCTGCCTCAACGTGACATATTTTTTCTGTCGGAGGTGATTTCTACCAACAAACAAGTGGAACCACTTTGGGAGCTGCCATTTCAGCCACAGTGGCAAACTTGACAATGGAGCACATCTAGACACGTTCGCCGAGTCACCAAAGTATTTTTGAGATATTTGGATAATGTCTTTTGCGTGCTCAAAAATTCTTACTTTGGAAGTTTCATGGCACACTTAAATTCGATCGAGCTCACGATTCAATTCACCGTGGAACGTGAAAAGAACAACATTCTTCCTTTCCTGGATGCACTAGTCAAAAGGCAAAAAGCGGGGTGTAGGGGTGGACGTTTGAGCTTCTCCGTGTACCGAAAACCTACCCACACAAGGTTGTATATGCGGTTCACTTCTAATCACCCCACCGCGCACGAAACATCAGTGGTCAGGGCACTCCTGAATCGTGCAGGGGTCATCTGCAGCTCCAAAAAATTGCGAAAAAAAGAATTGATCACCGTTAACCTGCTACACAATGTATACCCGAAAAGCTATGTTCATCGAGTACGCCAGCGACTTGATGACCGCGAAGCTGCCCCCACCTGCCTTCTGTAAAGGATGACCCTAACAATGAGGCCTATCCGAAACATTTCTACTGCATCTCTGTCCCATATGTACGAGGAATCGGCGAGCAATTGTCTAAGGTGCTGGGGAAAGAGGGCATTCAGGTGGTGCAGAAACCCGTCTCAACAATCGGGCAATTCTTGCCACGACCAAAAGACAGACTGCGAAAGGAAGGTTCCCCGAGCTCGTCTACAAAATTCCATGCACAGATTGTCCCGCCACCTACATCGGTGGCGGGATGAAAAAACTTCCCCATCAGGATACGACAACATCGAAACGATGTGCGTAACCTCGACGCCGCACGAAACTCTGTCGCTGAACACAGCGAAAAGATGGTCCACCGCATCAATTGTGATGACGCCTGGGTCATCGACATGGAGAGTAGCCACACAAAAAAACAATTCTTAGTTTTGGCACATCCAAACAAGACTTGGAAATGTTAACCGCTCAATTGGAACCTTACCCAGTGTATCAGTGCATGGTCTACAGAACCAGTTGAGAAAACAACAGTGGAAAGAAGGATGATGGAGAGGGTGACACTGCCAAGAAAAATCGCGAGCTTCAGAGCCGGCCGAGCAGTCACCCTTGTAAAAAAGGCTTAATCGGTCCCGAAAGCTCAAGTCAGTTCCCAGTCCTTAGCTTTTATCTTTGGACTATAACTTACTTTTATCTTTGGACTATAAATTAGCTGGAGAGTTTGTCATTAGTATGAGACTACCGACAATGCAACACGACCGCTGCGGCTTGTGGTCGGGCACTGCTCTACAAGCTGTTTTGTGATTGATTCATGAGCGCGTTTTGTAAATCAGTAGGTAAATATCTTGTGGTCGAGGGGGTGTGTGTTATTTATTTTTTAAGTTTCACACTAGAAGAAATGAAAGGTGGGAAATGGTTTTGAAAAGCAAGGGGCCTAGTTATCTGGTGGTCTACTGGAAATTGAACTCGGAGCCTTCCGCAGTGGAGGTGGATGCTCTATCATTCGAGTCATAATCTTCATAGTATCTGCAAATAAAAACCATTACTCAAAGCTACGCTCATTCTACATTTTACCGTGAAAGTTTCAGTGGCAGAAGGTCATGGGTGTTGCATTTCTACAGTGCTCATGTTTGCGTCATGCGCTGTGACTCCACGCTGACTATTCTGAAAGGGGGAGTCTCGCTTTTCCTCTGTTTCACCTAATGCACTTCTATTGTTCAATTTGTTGCCAACCTTTGGATTTGTTGTCTCAATGTCATGAGCTGATCTTGGGTTTACGTGTGCTACTTTACATACAGGGCGCTCATAAGGCATCCATCTTAGAGGGGTCCACTCGCAAGAGGCATGATAGCAGCAGCAGTGAGTTAGAGCAGCAGCGCAAGCAAGACCTTTTGCGGATGAAAATCGAGGCAACAAAAAAGTGAGTGGCCCATCCCTCTGTAGCCTATGTTCTTACGTGCCCCAACGTAATGTACTTTCACGTATCATTTGAAAAGACATTATTGAATGGGGGGAGGCAGTCAAAGGGACTGTCTGCAGTCATTCATAGCTTTTCTGTTTTGTATCGCCATAAAAAGCATACCGTCTGAAGTGGAAAGTGAGTAAAAATTTTTAAAACTGAAATTTTTCGTCTGTGTTCTGCCGTTCGTGCGATGAATGGCCACAACACTGGTTGGTGCAGGTGATGACTGTTGTAGTGCTGGTAAAAGTTAAAAACTGAAACTGTGGGCAGGTTTTGGAGGCTTCATCAAGTTGTGTTTAATATTAGAACAAATACTGTAGTGGTTGTGTAAGCACACACATTGTCAATTAAAGTATGTTATTACCAGTTTCTCCAGCTTTGTTTAGTCAAGCTGAAAAACCACCGCAGTCGAATGAAAGAGTTGGTCTGTTCCAGCAACACTGGTGCATCGTTGTGGAACGAACTATAGGGATACTTCTTGTACAGCCGTCGGCACCTTTAACACTAACACTTCGATGCGTGGCTAGGGCTAGTTTGATTGATGCCAACCGCGAAGTGCTGGGTGCTTTTGCCGAGATAATACCTCGGTAGGCTTGGATAGTATATCGGCATGTATGGTTAGCATCTTGGCAACAGACCCAAACGTACGTGGTGTCAGCGTCAAACTGCTGCAGGACACGCGGCGGAGCGTGGCGTGGTTAAAGGTGCTGATGGCTGTACACTATAGTACTGGTTCCACTCTTGCCAAAAGTTTTACTAAAATGAACATGACACATGCTTCAAACAGAAGGTCCCTGCTGTCTTTGAGGTATGTTTAGGTGCTCTGCGTTGCATATGCGATACGAGAGCCAGCATGGATGCCTTGGTGAAGCGTAACATGATCACAAAATTTTGAGTGTAAAACCTCGGTGAATTCTGGCGTGCTCGTTATGCGTGAGGACTCCCACAATGTTACTAGATTACGTTGCACTCGCAAGCATGGTTTAAGAATTCCCTGAAGCCAGTCATGCTGCCATGTTCATTCAACCTTGAAGTGGGGCATCGAGGCAATGCAGATTTTATTTATTCATTTTTTTCTTTATGGGCGGCTCTAGGCTCAGCGCTTGTTTCTTCCCTATGCAGCCAGGCGAACAAGCCGCCAGCAGCACCACTGGGTGCCTATTTGAACGCGTGAGAAAAAAGCTAAAATTACTCTGGCGCAACCTCGAGCTGCTTCAAGTGCTTAAAATACCATTTTAAGTTATACATCCTTGTATTTTAGCAAAATGAGTAGATTGAACCACACTGTTGATGGATTACTCTAGCAGTAATTCTTTTTCGACTTTCAGCCTAAAATTGAAATCATAATTTTTTTATTATTTTTTTATGGGAGAAAAGCATACTTGTTGCTGCCAATGTTGCGAACGATCTCAATTTTCGCCACAATCGGAAAAAAAAGTTTTTTGTGTGGTAGACAGTACTTTTAAAACCTTTAGGTCATGAATGGGCTTCTGGCACCACTCTAAATGCCACATTGAGTTCCACCTGCTTTGACACGTTGTGAAATTTGCTCTCACAATAAAAACAACGGACATACATTGTTGCATAAAAGAATTTCACGTACTTTCAAAGTGTGGCAACACATGCCACACAAGAGAAATGATTAAAAACAGCACGATTTTCATACGTACAGTTAATACTGTGCTGGTAGAAGACTGAGACTGACGTGCACTCAGTAAGGGTTTATTGATGGAACGCAACTTCTTCTCTCTAGCGGCTCTGTCTTAAGCATGCATCACACGTGCACTGCATTGCATCGTCCTATTCATTTTTTAATGCTATAGCGTTAAAAAGCTTGTGTCGCAGAAATTTCGCCGTCTGCGTCGACATCGTTGGTTGTGAGCGAAAAATCGAGAAAGAAGCAAATAAAATAAAGAACAAAATTTTTGGACTCATTGGGGATTGAACCTGGGCCATTCGCGTGGCAAGCAGGTATCTTGCCACAAAGCTACCATGCTACTTGCAGCTGCTCAGTGAAAAAACACTACATAAATGCCATGTAGAGGAAGGAGCCTTCTTAACGCATTTTGTTCGACATGTGTCACGACGAAAACGAGCCCATTCGGTGATTTGTAGGTGCATTTGGGAGGCCATCAAACTACGTTGAAAAAAGCCGGGATACAGCAGCCATTGCTGCTAAAAACGCACAGGAACTTTCAGACAGCTTTGAAAATGGACAACTGTCTCAATATAGTGGAAAACATATCACACCTTTCCAAAGGTGTTGATCAAGCAAACGCTAAATAATGTGCTACCATCTATGAGGCATTGTGAGACTCTATGGCCTCTCCACAGCCACCTGGATTTGGCGCTATTGCCGCCTGGATTTGGTCCGTTGATGTGACCTCTGAGTACGTGAGCGGACCACCTTCAACTAACGCTTCGACTTCTGCTGCATGATGTGCTGAATTCCACTAAGTAGCAGTCATTCGTGCGCTGCGTTGACCAGCAGATGGAAGAACCGCTGAATAGCAGGAAGCAACATTGGATTCTTCATCTTGGTGTTGTCAAACACCTGAAGCTTGCCTTCTACACGAAGTTATAGATGATGGCCGCGTCGGTACACTAGAGCACCTTGGAACTTTTAGTCTCTTTTCCACGGCCATAATTTCGCTTGCAAATGCAGTGTGTTGGACCAACCTCAAGCAATGCATCTTTGCCTCGTTCAACTCTGAAGCCGTCAGTGGTTCTGTTGAAGATGGTTCCCTCGATGAGGTATCGCAGCAGAATTTCATGATCCAAGCAGTAACTTGGACTGATTGGGAAAAATGTTCATTGTTCAGAACTTCAAGCAGAGGCCCACAGAGGCGCATAGAGGGCATCAACACGGCGGTGGGGCATGGTAATGTCGCTTCACTGGTTTTCCGAAGAGTGGCATCTGTTGAGGGAGTGGATGAAATCTTTGAAGCCCATTGAGAATGATGCTGCGACAATTCCGAATGAAAGAGGCCAGCACATCAATGTGCTAGCAGCTTCCAGAAGCTCGGTGATATCTATCACATAGAGTGGCTTTACGGTGTGTTCACGGTGGCCGCATAATACGCAGCAGGCATGGCTGTTCATCGCAGATCCTGCGGCCAGCACTAATGCTGAAGGTACTGGCGGCTAAAAGCGAGGATGACTTTGCTAGTGTCCCGGGAGTCTGGATTTTCATGGGCACATCGAACGGGAGCTCTCTTCTCTGCTCTCGGATCTGATTCTAAAGAGACTTCATCTGGACTCACGCACCTCTTCTTGGGGTGGCCTTGGAGTAGCCCCGTCGTTTGCCTCTGTCTCCTTAGTGCGTTGCCGGTACAGGACAGCGATGTCTTTGGGTAGCGATCGCATGAGCACACACTGAAGTATAACCACGTGCTCCGATGCTTGAACTTCGAGGCTTTTCAAGAAGGCGGTACAAAAGCGTATTTCTTCGTACATTTCACGCAGCTCTGATGTGTTGGAGGAATGGTTCACAGCGATGGCAAGCAAGATGTCGATGCGTTTGTCTATAAGGGCTATATGACGGCCAAACCTCTCTTGGAACACCTTGACCACTACCGTGTAGTTCACTTGCTTTAGTCGAACGTTTTGCTCGATCGCACGTTTTGCTGGTCCGGTTGCATACGACCTCGAATAACTGAACTTCTCAATGTCTCAAAGCTCGCGATTGTTGTAGTTCACTTGCTTTAGTTGAACGTTTTGCTCGATCGCACGTTTCGCTGGTCCGGTTGCATACGACCTCGAATAACTGAACTTCTCAATGTCTCAAAGCTCGCAATTGTTGTTGATCGTAGCCTCAAAAAGAAGCCCTGCTATTCGCGAAGTTCCCCAGAGAAAATGGGTACCTGTAATTTTTGTAGGGCAACTCGCAGCGGCAATTGAGAACTTTTTTGAGTGGAGACTCCTTGGGGCTCGGTTGCAATAGCAATGACAAGTTCAGTGCTGTCAGCGGGCCTTGAATCTGAGATCAGAAAGTAGCGAACACGGCTCGTAGTGCTGCGGATCTTGTGATATTCGAGAGCTGCCGTCAATTCCTCATCACACTCGGCGGCACCGGTTATGAGGTCAACAATCTTTGGTGGAGATCTGCAAGTGCAGTGTCTTTGTCCTGGAGGTCATCCAAGAACACTTGCAGATCGGTCAGAGGAGGATTCTCCACTTGCAGAACTTTGGTAGCAGACGTGATGAGCCTTGTAGGGGCACACGACTCCTCTGCTACGGCGCGGGCGGTCCATCTTCGGTGGAGGACATCGGTCTTCTTCCGGGTTTTAAGACGCCAAACTACGTAGAAGACAAAGAGACAGATGTGCGCTCAGTAACGGTTTATAGATGGAACGCAACTTCTTTCTTTTCCTTTAGCGGCTCTGTCTTAAGCACGCATAACATGTGTGCTGCGCCGCATTGTTCTATTCAGATTTTATTAGTGCTGTTGCGACAAAAACCTTTCACTGCCTGTTTAGTGATGCCGTACATGTATGCCGTAAATGTTGAAAGGGTTAAAAGAGCACTGACAAAAATTTTAAACATTTTCAGATTCTTGTTTTAAGTGAAAACTGAGATTTTGAGAACCCTAAAAAGGAATGTCGTAGTACTTGGGAATGCATTGAGTATATTTTTAATGCTGCTGCCTTAAGACAGCAATTTCGGATTCGGTATCGAGAGACGGCTTTGCAGTGACGTGTCAACACGAGCCTGACGTCGCAGGGAGAGGGCAACTTGCCAGATACTAGCAACAGCTGTCGGTTTGCTGTCAGTTGCTTATGGTTCCCGTGGACGAGTGAATTGGCGCCCAGAGACTTTGACAGCAATTTCTGCGAGTTAGGCTGCATTCAGAAACTGTGTTGGCTTGTCATGATGGGGTCCATTGCAAGTCCATTGCAGTGAGGCTGGCTTACTTTTGCTGGGCAGTGAGAACTTCAATGTCAACAAAATAATATATTTTTATACGTGTTGTTTGGCTCTTGTGTGTTGAGAGCATTGATAGTGCAAACCATGGAATATAAAAATGTCGTCTGTGGGGTGCTTCAAAATGGTGTCAGTACTACTTTAAATGAAGGTCCTGCTGCGATGTTCTCAAGTTGCTACTGTTTGCTCTTCAAACTAATGCGAATAACTGTGTTTCAGAGAACGAGAGCAAAGGCTGGCTAGGGTACAAGCTCAGCGGGAGCGACGTGAAGCTGAGCGGCGAGAGCAGGAGCAGTTGCGACATCGGGAAGCTCAGCAGAAGGAGCTGGAGAGGTTGAAGCAACGAACTGCCTTCCATCAGCGCAAGCAGAGCGAGTGCGTTGACTACTTTGACCGGCTATGTTTTTTGTTCAAGTACATTTGAGCCCCTTTAGAAGAAACAAATGGGCATAAGAGACATCAGTGTGCCTACCGTGTAAAAAGGGTTGATAATAAAATGCATGCGTAGTTACCCCGCTTGCAAGACACACCTCATATAAGACAGGAATTACTGCCCGGTTCATGTCGCTGCCCAGTGCATGGTTCAACTGTACAGTTGAACCTTTATATAAAAGACATGCACCGGGGAGCAGTTCTCGCGCCTTAAATGAGGTGTCTCTTATTAGTAGTGAACCACGGTTGATGTTTCTTATCAACACCTCTTTCAGTGTAGGCACACTGATGTCACTTACACCAAGTTGTCTCTTACATCAGTGTCTCTTTCTTTCTTTTTGTCTCTTTATTTTCCAGAATAAAGTGAAAACATTACATTCTGGATGGTCTCCTGGGCTAAAAGCTGTAATGAAACAGCTTGACTAATACCCCTGTCACTCGGCCACCACCAAACTCCGTTGAACACCGTCAACGTAAATTTCCCCTAGGGGGTTCGACGGAGAAGGAGTTGTGGCAGTGTCACACGACAATGATAAGGTTGTAACAGTTGCCGCGAGGGGGCTCAGCTGGTGCTGTTTCATTTTCGGAAAAGTATTCTAATTTGATCCCTATTGATTTTTTTGTGAATCCTCGTTATGCGGTTTTTACAAAAAAGCACTATTAAGTAGGTATGCGACTAACAAACCATTAAAAATAATTTCAAATAAAAACGCATTTGCTAAATGTAGCAATGCTGCTAGTGACGCTGGCCACATTGTGCTTTTAGTTGTTTTGTTGCCTGTGTACATGCCCGGTACGAAAGTTCTTATGCTTCCTTGCCTCGTGAGCGCACATTTTATGTTCTTCAGCCATGAGTGACACAGCGGACGACGTGAGGAAGTGGTGCGATATTGCGCTGGTAATGACGTTGATCGGCTGGCGCCGGCCGGCCCGACTCGCGAGGCACGGTGTGTAGGGCATTGGTGTTGAGAGTAAGTGAACTTTGGCGGGCGTAAATATTGTAAACAAACGCGTTGTGAATGAGTACTACAACGAAAGAACGTTTAATATTGCTAAAACGTATTATTCTTTCACTGCGGCCACTTAGTGCTCGAAATTTTTCTTTGACCTCTAGACTACTGAGGATGAGAGTACCTCGTTTCGCTGCGAAGGGAGATCGTTGAACGTCCTTTGCGAAATGCTCCGTTCACCTTCGTTTGCGTAAGGGTGGCCGTGTGACACTGACCGCATCTTCGTTGTCGTAAAGACGAGGGAGTTAAACGGTCTTCACGGGTGCCCGTGTGACAGGGGTATAAGGCCCAGAAAACCAGTTACATGGCAACAAGTGACAGCTGAAAATTTTTGCACCAATAATGTACAAGTCATGATCACACTTGGTAGAAAAAAAATATTAACAAAAAGCATATAACAATACCTGTACAAATGTAACAGGGAATTATTTTGAATGAACACACATTTAATAACAAAAAACGACAGAGTACTCAAGTTTATTTACAAAAAAAAATTGTAATACTAAAAGTATAAAAAAAAGCAGCAATAGTACACCTGTAATTTTGGCAGTAAGCTACACGAAACAATAATATCCATTCAGTATAAGAAAAAAAAAGCATGGTAGCTGACCATATATAAAGGTATACAGTGAAATGTTGTACAACATGAAGAAATAATTGAAATGTATGAATACATTAGTAATTCAAAAGTATTTCATGTAATGTCTTTAACGCTGGTTTATGTAAATGTTTATGCTTGTTAAGAATACATGGGAGATTATATTTCAGTGACTGAAGTTTAGTCGGTGCAAAAGCGCTGTATAAGCCAGCCTCCTTCATTCAGAGTATTGCTAGCGTGACTGTTGCATTGAAGTGCAGCAGTGCACTTGATAAATTGTTTAAATGAAGAAGAACATATGTAAAATAATCGCAGGATGTGCAACTCATGCATATATTGGATTTTAATTAAACTGTACTTGCGAAAATATGTCGATGTCGGTGATAAATAACTAGTGTTGGCAATGTGACGGACAGCTTTCTTCTGCAAAAGCAATATTCTATTGATGTTGCGTTGAGTTGTAGTAAGCCAAACCAGACAGCAGTAATGTATGTGTGATTGAAACAGTGCTGAATATATGCTGGGTTTTATTTGTGTAGGGAGAATTTCACAACGTGACAAAGCTCCCACTGTAAAAGAAAGTTTCTTACATAAATGGCTTACATGAGAGTCCCAACTTAAATGAGGTGAAAATGTTACACCAAGAATTTTATGTTCTTCTACAATATCTATTTTTTTGGTCTGCACAAAGAATATCTTGTTTAACGTCCAGAATCTTATTCCTAGCTCTAAATATTATCATCTTTGTTTTCTTAAAGTTAATTTTAAGTTTGTTTGATAGTGACCATGATGTTATATTACAAAAGAAACGATCACAACTTTATACCAACATATCTGTATCTGCATGGGAAAACAAGACCGTGGCATCATCAGCATGTATTATAAATTTTACCGACTTGTTGATATTCACAATATCATTGATAAAAACATTGAAAAGAAGAGGCCCTAATACACTTCCTTGCGAGACACCTCTACTGAGAGGCAATGAATATGAGTAATGGTTACCAAAACACACGGATTGTGATCGCTCTGCTAAAGATGATTTAGATAAAGCCAGGGGAGTGCCTCAAATGCGGTAGATTTCCAACTTATGAAGTAGTGTGCAATGGTCAAGGGAATGAAAAGCCTTGGTCAAATCAATGAACAAACATAATGTATGTTCTCTAAAATAATTTTTTTTTAGCCTTAACAAAGCTAACTCTATAGACCTTCCTTTACGGAAACCAAACTGAGCGTCACTTATAATGTCACCTTTAGTGAAAAAGTTGGATAATCTGGAGTGTGGCATTTTTTCGGAACTCTTAGCAAACACCGAAATAATCGATATTGGGTGATAGTTTCCCAGCAAATTTTTGTCGCCACCTTTAAATAGAACGGACACACGATAGCGCTTCTTATCACGGGGAAATTCGCCGGACTCCAAGTGCTGGGGATAAATGCTCTAAAACAAATCTTAAGGGACCGATCTGAAAATTGTCAATATCTAATGCACTACTATTTTTAAGACTCATAAATGCTCTGAAAACTTCTGGTTCGTCTGCTGGGTTGAAAAATAGGCTTTCAGCATGTCTAATAATTGAGGTATTGATTTGCAGGGTATTATTAATTAGTGGTATACCAGAAGTGAAATACATATTAAGAATCGGCAAGCATTGCACCACTTAATACACGATTGTTTAACGTGATTTCGTGTGTCATGATGAAGTCTGCCTTGTGGCGCCCTAAAACACTGTTTATCGCTTTCCAAGCTGCATCAGTGTGCCTTGTACAGATAACAGAAAACAACTTTTCATAATACGCTATCTTCGCCTTTCGAAGGCCGCCATCTTGCGCTGATAAGCAATCATTTGCCAGTTTTCTATGTTGTAGTATGAATTGATCACGGTCACGAAACGTTGAAGGCACCGCCCGAAGTGTTTTCATGCACCCCAGTTCAACGTAAAGCTGTTTGTTCATTTGATACGGCTACGAAAGTGCAACGTTAACAATCCAAGATGGTGGTGCTTGAGCGCATCCAGAAAGTGGTGTACAAAAAGGTTCAACTTTGCTTGTGCTTGTATGTACATACAATTGCGTGTTCGAACCTTCCAGAAAGCTGGAGAATACACTTATAGTAAGTGGAAAGTTGGCAGGCTCTCTTTGTATGTTGACACACTGTTCCCTTTTGCTGCTTGCCAGGCGGAGCCTCAATGTAGACACCCTGGCGGCTTCTACAAAAAGGAAAGCCGAATCCCCCCTGGTTTCTGCATCTAAGAAGTTTACGCCGGTTCGTCATCTTTCAGAGTTTCCTCTTGCCTATTTCTTTGCCCTCATGGATTAACATTGTGAAACCATTTGTGCAAGTAATCTCAAAAGGAACGTGTCAGTAGTACCTACTCTTGACTAGATTTGTGCTTGAGGTCAGACACATGACATCAAGCATTTGTATCGTGCAGCTGAAATTAAGCAAGCCTCCAAAGATGGCCAGGAATGCTTGCGCTGATGCAGAGGCTGCCAGGGTGAGTGATGTTTTGTGTGTGGTATGTATTTGTAGTGTGATGAAATGCTCATATCACGCACCACTATTAAAAGCAAAGCTTAAGCCCTCAAAGTTTTTTTTGGCGGTGTTGTGCGATTCTGCAGCTCATCTTTGCCCAGCCAAGTACAAGTCTCTCTCAGAAGGCAAAGGCAAACAACAGCCTTCAGCAGCAGGCGATGCTGAACAGGTAAGGAAGTGGTACACCACTGGTATATTTCTGCTATTGAGCTATCGCAATTCAACAGGCTTTGTCTGAGGCGGCAGCCTGGTGTGCTCTGTTCTGTACGAAGCAGCCTTGTTGTTGCTTTGTTCATTTATACAATGTTTAGAAGGCTTGGAGTTGCCATGGAGCTATAACACGAGCTCTTGCTGCAAGAAATCGCCTCAAACAATAACACCAATGCACAGAAGCTGACACACATCAGTCATGACATGCATTACTTTTGCACAATGTACAGTAGACTCTCAGCAAACGAAACCTGAAGCGACCGGGAAAATATATTTCATTTAACAGGAGTTCCATTTACTGAGAGGTGAACATGGGTGCAGATTATACAAGCCCGAAACCAAGCATTGCAAATGTAATAGTTGCGTTTAAACAGTAGTTCTGATTAACAGATTCACGTTTGCTGAAAGTATACTGTATTTTATGGGACATGCATGCGTTAGATGATAGGAAGCTGCTCATTTAGAGAAAAGCAGATGCACTTCACACGTGATGGTTAATGCAAAACATGCAGACTGTTTTTTGCAACTGCTTGTCCGGGAGCCAGCTTCCATGTCTGTATTATGATTATTTTTTTTGCTGTCATACAAGTTCTGCGAGGCAAGTACAGGCAACAAAACAGCATGTCCACGTAAATCCAACGTTAGCTTCTCTTAATGTAGGCAGCTCGAACAGTTAGGAGTCATACAGTTGAATCTCATTAATTCGAACACGCTTAATTTGAACTTCCTGTTAATTAGAACTGACGCTGTGGTCCCGTCAAAGCTATGTGTATTCTAATGGGCAAAAACGCCCTGTAATTCGAACGCACAGGCACTTGCGACGGTTACTTCCAACATACCGGGCTACAAAAATGCTCTCACCACCACGCCCAACCCCGCGGCGGCACCTCTGACACCTCAACGCTTCGCGCGAAGAAGGAAAAGAAGAAAAGAAAAGGCTGCGGCGGAATGTTTGCTCTCTCTCAAATGCTGATCTGCGGCGCGCCTGTGCGATGCTTCTCCTTTTTCGTCCCTGCCACGTAGAGGCCCTTCTCCTTTCAACGCCGTGCACGAAGAGAGAGAGAGGGGGAAAAGGCTGTTGCAAAGTGTTGGCTCTCCCTCAAATGCCGATTTGCGACGTGCCAGTGCCATGCCTGGCCTCCCCCTTTCCCGTACCTGCCACGTAGAGACCCTTCTCCGTTCAACTCCACACACAATGAGAGTGGAAAAAAAAAAAAAAAAAAAAAGCTGCCGTGGAGTGTTGGTTGTCTCAAATGCCGATCTGCTTCTCTCCGCGTGCAGACGCTCCTCCTTTCTCGCCATGTGCTGGCCACGCTGCGGCTGCGGCGCAGAGGGTAGCAGCGGAGACGAGGTCGTTGTCTTTAGAGGGTGTCGACGCTGGACATAGCCACGTGCAACTTATCTTGGCAGAAGAGTGCTGAAGTCAAAGTAGAAATGCTTTGCAAGCTGCGTGCGAAATTGATAAACTCACTGCAAGGCAAACAAATGCAAACGCACATCATCGATTACTTCAATTAATGATGGATGTCTTGTGATTTGTGAATAAATGTAAGTATCCTGAAACTTCCCTCCTGTGTTAACTCAACGCACATGCGCCACTGCATGGCGAGCCCTTCGTTCATTTAGCTTTTATTAATCCGAACAAATTTTCGGGCCCCTTCGAGTTCTAATTATAGAGATTCGACTGTATGAAGACATTACAGGATGGCTTAAACTCAAATGCCCATTTACTCTGTGGCATTGACAAAGATAGAGCCAGTACTGCACTGTGGTGGTCTTGTAATGTTAAGCAATGGCAAGTAATGAGGAACCAGGCAAGATGATCAAATCATAGTAAGAAAAAATAAAAAGGGTATTGTTGTGGCAATAGGAGAGGGTGATACAATAAAACCTCAACGATCACCGCTCTTACGAATTTCGAGGTGATACGAATTTTGCTTTTTTGCTGGTGAAGGCCTATTGGCCTGCTGGGTAACGTCATTGCAAACTGATTTTCAACCCGCGACGCTTGGTACACACGCAACACTTCCACTTGGGTACCAACAGGTGCTGCCCGCGCTATCGCGGGAGACTCGACAAGCGTGCTCAATCGTGAAAACCCAAGTGTGAGCATGCGCATTGCTCCACAAACAAACCTTCAGTGACACTTTGTCGCCTCTGAGATTGTGCGCGTGAATCTTGGAGGCTCTGAAGCACCTTTGTGTCAGGTTGCAAATGGCGTTGGCATCGCGCTTTGTTTTTTACTCTTCGGTGCGTGCTACTCTCGTACTGTGTTCACATGTGCCTGCCATGTCGATGCAAGCTATGTCCTTGAGTATTAAACATTTTATAAAAAGTGGACGAGGACCAAAAGAGGAAGGTAATGTTCTTGGCAAAAGCCTTACAAAGCCATGCACGATTGTTTGGGACATGCACACCTTCCGAATTTCCACTTGTGCTGGCACAGCCGTAAATCTTTTAAAAACGTCCCAAACACCATCCGGATAAGAAAATAATAACAGCAAAGGACAGAGGTTCTAAAAATTTTCTGGCCTTCATCTATTGCATGCAAAGTGCTCTGTAAGTCACTTTTTCCGCAGTACGTCGTTGTAATGAGGAAAACTGTGCAGAGATAAGAAAAGGCTTCTAGTTGTCACGGAATCATGCCCGCGAGCCGTATATTTACGAATGCAAGTATGATTGCTAAAATCTAAAAACTTCTTTAACAATCATTCAGAGCTGTTTGCGATGTTTTGGTTCCAAGAAAAAAAATGAAAAAAACATATGCCAGCTTTCTCTCGTCACGTGCCAATTTTTTGTACTTTCGGATGATAGGTACGAATATTTTCGGTGACCCCGTCAGATTTGTATCATCGACGTTTTACTGTATTGAGGTCATAATGATGACAGCTAGATGAGTGGTTTGCAAATCCTGTTTCTTTTGTCTCTTCAGTCGCATGGGTCAAGCTGCTTCTTTGGGAAGACACTGTGCATTGTCTCTTTTGACATTTGTGCTTGTTTTACGGGAATGAAGCACATCCTCTGAGCCAGAAAGAAATGTTTTGCTGGAAAGGCACAGTGAAGCAAAATGCATTGCAGGGCATATTTCATATTGTATTTTATTACCCTGAAGGAGCCGTGTGATATATATTCAATTATACTCTTTCTTGGGCACCTTCGACGAAAAAAAATTCAGTCTGTCTGTCTGTACATTTGTCTGTTTGTCCATTTTTAACGGCACTGAGCATTTCAAATGGTCGACTCCATCCGCAGCGCCCACCAATGTTGCTCAAGGTTTACCGTTCATACTTGTGCAATTGCCAATTAAAAAGCAATTATTGCACATATCTGGGGCATCATAACAACACGTATATATTCTGCATGTGGGCCTTTTACTAGAAAAGGCATACATAAGTAATTTTAAGAACCTCCATCACGCTGCGGTGACAATGCAACGCATGCACGAAAAGGAGAGTGTTTCCAACGCTTTGGTAAGACGAGGTGGTGGTGGCACCTACCCGTTGCTTTGTGATCTACACCTTATCACCCCCGAGACGGGCACGCACACTCGTCTCAGAGCCACGTGCTATGTTTTCCAAGAAAACTGCCAGTTGGCGCTCATGTCTCACGTGTGACGTGCCTTGATACGCTCGTTCGCCTCCGCTGCACGCTGGAGGTACTCTAATGCAGTGCCTCCAAAATACCATTCACCAATTTTTCTTGCGCAGAACATCAAATAGGTGTTTTGTTCGCTCTCCACATGCAAGACTATCATCTTTCGACGACATTAGCAGATTAAAATGCAGATACGAGGCCAATTTTTTCATCTACATTCTGCATTGCAAGAGTTCATGCAGTTCCAAATACTTGGGTGAACACAAAAATAATGATCGAAATCGGTACACGGTAATGAAAGTTATTAGCCTTCAAACTTCCAAACCCAGCAGACGATGAGAAAAAGCACCCTTTCGCATTTCAATCTCCCATTGACGTCGAAGGTCTCTTCAAATCATTGCACGCCTCTCACAGAGACGTGCCGGACGACTCGCCTCATGTCTGCTAGTGGTGGACATTCTGAAACACTCCTAGCATCGTTTTTCACACTTTCATGAATATTTAAAATGATGGAAATTCTTTTGTATCTGAATAAGTATAAAAAGTGCTTTTTTATAATTTTTTGTGCACAATAGTCTGGTGTATCTGGTACTTTATGAATATTACGCACGACTTGTTGCGCTGAACCAATCAATCAAAATGCATGGCTTATGTCATCACTTCTACGTGGTGAAGCGTCGCTTCCAATCAAAAATAGCCGCTATGCGTTCTCTAGTCCAAAAACGTTGCGGTTTCTCTGCAGAAATGAAATTACACTCGAATTTCATTATAACAAACTTTGATCTTACATGAAAATAAGTTCGTAATAATTGAAAATTCATTAAAAAGGTTTATTCTTAAGACTAAATCTTTTGCAAAACTATTTTTCATTTGCTTCGTTATAACCGATATTTCATTATATCTGGATTCGTTATATCAAGGTTGGAGTGTATAACATCTGTGTTTTTGTGCCCCGCCGCGGTGGTCTAGTGGCTAAGGTACTCGGCTGCTGACCCGCAGGGCGTGGGTTCGAATCCCGGCTGCGGCGGCTGCATTTCCGATGGAGGCGGAAATGTTGTAGGCCCGTGTGCTCAGATTTGGGTGCACGTTACAGAACCCCAGGTGGTCTAAATTTCCGGAGCCCTCCACTATGGCGTCTCTCATAATCATATAGTGGTTTCGGGACGTTAAACCCCACATATCAATCAATCATCTGTGTTTTTGTCATTGCTACTCGCACACCGATATAGATACATTCGACAGTTGGAGAAGAGATTAAAACAACACGCTTAATTTGTTGCAGGGCCCCTTTAATAACCCTCGCAGGGAGGGGTGGGGGATATTGCGTTAGCCGAGAGCATACACAAGTGGGAACACGAAGGAGGAAAATATTGTTAACAGAATGAGTTGTAATCTAAGACATGTGGTGTACATATGCGGGAACACAAGTATTTGTCGTGTAAAAAGCTAAAAAAATGCAAAACATGCACAGAAAGCATTCAGTAATTTAAATGTGTGCATATGTAATTAGCAAGCATGTTGTAGTGGTTGATGTTGGAAACGGTGTAAAGAAGGCTGTCAGAGTTGCTAGCCTGGCTTTAAAGAAAAAAAAAAGAAAAAGATGAAATTATAGATGATACCTTGCATGCACTTTAATGGGCGACCTTGAAAAGACATCCATGGTGGACATGCCCTGGAATACCTTTTGAGCATGGTTCGGAAATGCTGTGAGTCGATAATTGAAGCTTATGAGAACATGTAAGCCAATCGTTATAGTGCAGCTCGCGGCATGTGGCTGGCGTGATTTTTAATGTCGGCTAGAAATCTCTGGCCTTTGTCTTGACAAGTGATGCTGAATCCAAAATAACTGCGAAAATTACACAGTCCACAGTTATTGTCTGATTTTAAGCATTGCGAGCTGAATGGTTGCCACAGCCGCTATGGAATGCCACGTCGCGCTCGCACTGCACTATATTGTGCTAGAATCACGCAACTTAGAATTGCAACACCGGCATGCTTGCGATCACACCGAAGGTAAGGCACATTTTCCTTTAAAAAAGTGCTCACGGTCATGACGTGCACTGACAAAAAGACAAATTTTTTGCCTTTGTCGTCCACCTTGCTTAGCTTTCGTCACTCTCATCGGCATGAGAGGAGAGAGAAAGCACTTGACGTGTGCGACGAATTTCTCCAATTCCACTTGCACTCGATGGATTCTTATATTTCCGTGACAGCAGATTCATCAGGCAATTAACTTCTTTAATGAAGTCATTCACTGTTTACGTAGAAAAGTGCTGCAAGGCCCTTTAAACGCTAGTTTCAGTGAGGATGTGCCATATTTTTTTCGTCTTCACCGCGGACACCTGTAAAATAAACAACCTCCATTTTCTTTGCTTCCCGCAGCCTGTCGCAGTCGCTCAGGAACCAGGCGAGCTTTCTGCCCTCCCCTGAGCAACCTCAGGCAGTCTCTGCTGCATCACAGTCCATCACGGAGCTTGTCGAGGGCACGCCAGAAAAGCCGTCTGCTGCTCTGAACGTCACCGTCACAGTGTCTTCCGAGGACAAGCCTGCGGAGGTCCTCAGCGAGACATTCACAGTGCCTTCGATTGATCATGAGTCCAGTGTACTGAAGACACCATGTGCTGCCAACTCCACGTTTGTTAGAACCGAAGGCCCCCCAAAGTCGAGCGGGTATGACAGTATCTATGCACTTATATTGACGTCTTTGCACAATTCTCTCACGTCTAAGTACATGTCTGTGAAGCAAAAAGGGCAGCAGCAAGCGTGAGCTGATGACGTGTTTGCGTTTCACCCGTTACTTGGACCTAAATGGTTGCTGAAGAACCACAGGGGTCAAAATTTAACAAACTCTCCCATTATGGTTTACGTCCTGATCATATTTTGTTTTTGCAGATAGTATCTAGTAGGATTGTCGACCAATTTTCCGGACTCTAAATTGCGCAGTCCAAAAAAGTGAATTCAAGCAATAAAGAAGTTGCTTTATTTAGTTAGCAGCTTTAAGGACACAGGCTAAGGTAAAAAAATTTTTAAATCAAAACGAATTTTGATGTGAAAAGACCGTGCACAACCTGTGCTTTCTCCCTCAGCTTTTGAAAAATTGATACTAATACTTTTTCTGAGCTTAGCAGGCTTTTAAAAAATAGGGCAGTTCTGGTTTTGTTTTTTAAAGACATCTGGCATTTACCGAGTCCGCTTGCCTAGTATGCGTGAGACCCACACGGGGATGGGGTTTTGTGCATTTGAGTTTAGTTGCACCTACCAACAGGTCAGCCTGCACGTCGGTGAGGGTATGTTCTCGTTGTTAACAGCATGAAGCACGTGAAGCACCTGATATTGTCTGCTTCATTTCGAACTGCTTTGGGATGTCCGCTTGTGACAAGGTCACTTTGCCCTTTCCTGACAATTGAAGCTTTGTATTCTATCATCAGTTGGCTGTAATTTTCTGGTTTCAAAGTTTCTACAGCAAAAGCTGTTACGAGATCACAAAAAGGGTCGCGTGCACCGTAGTTGTGCGCCGCCGGTGTTCATAACCACAATCGCACTAAATGAGGAAAAAAAAAGAGAGAATAAAAACACCAAGGTCATGATGAAATTCGAATCCAGGTTCCCTGCGTGCCAGCCCATTGTTCTACCTCTGAGCCATGCCGTTGCTTGAAACTCCGTTGTGAACCGACTCTAGGCAGGCTTGTTGTCAAGAAAGGATGTTAATATGAGTAACAAAACATTGCAGAACAGCCAAGGAATAATCGGGCGTCAAAAAATGCGAATTGCATAACGAGTAATCATCTCATGCCCCAACCCGTTACTAAAGCTTCAGGCATAATTGTTTATCTTCGTCAGCCTCGGCACAAAAAAAATTGCACAGAAGTCCTTGCAAGTGTGTAGCAGATACCACACTTCTCCGAAGAATGACGAAATATGGCATAGTGGATGCCTCCCTACTACACGGAATTTCTGATATATGGTGTAGTGGGTAACCTGCAAGTGTTCTTGTAGCAGTTACTTAAAGAGTGTTAGAAAAAAGGCTCTGAAAGGCCACTCTTCCATCTTTTGCTGCGACTGTGCTGCACGTTGCACGCAGGCCTGGCAGTTTCTATTTTGTCAAAAGGCGGTGTTTGCACATCATTGATAGCAATTGGCGATGAAACCACGATCAGTTGCTGAAGCAACGATGCAAGCAGCACCCCATGCTACAACGTAGGCGACCGATGAGATCAGCTGGCGATACACATGCACTGCTGGTTTGAAGCTGCAGGAAAAAAAAAGCTATCACTGTTATTTTGGCGTTTTCAATGGTTTCCGAAAGCTCTTTACTCTAAATCCACTGGAAAACTATGGAAAATTGAACGAGAACTGTTTCAGACGTCCAAAATTTTTGGCTCTCTGGAGCGCGTGACGGTGCCATCGCATAGTCCAGATTTTCATACAGGTCAGAAAAGTTGGTTGGTGACTTGTTTTTATTGCTTGGAGTGTGAGAGGGAGAATTCAAAGTTTTAAATACAAATTTCGTCGTATTTTCCTGCTGTTCAAAAAGTCATCAATCAAACTCCTCAAATTTTCATTTCTGTTCATTCAAATGAGATGACTACAATTACCATTATGTACCAGGAGAAAGATGCAACTGTTGACTGTTCCGAATGATGCTGCGCTTCTGGAGTGACAATTTCTGCAGAAATATCATTCACTGAAGTCACGCACCTTGCACGGAGTGTCTCACTGTTGCCCAATAAATTTTACTCGGTTAATAGGGGTGTCCTGCTTCTATGCTGTTTACTTAGTAGTATTCTTGTTTTAGGCTAAGAAAATTTATTTGAAAGATTTTGCCAAGCTTGTGTCTCTGATAATGTGATGTGCAGTGGTACTGCACATTGTTCCTTCGATGAACTCGGCGATCTCCATGTATGTCGTGACGTGCTGTTTCTGGTACAGCAATGTTTTGATTGTTTCTTATTGTCAAAGTTGTTGGGCATCCAAGCCTTATAGATGTCTGTTAAATGATAGTCACCTCTTTCCTTTATTCATAGCCAAACATACCCTAACCTACTTTTATATTCCACTAAGTACACTAGAGATGTGGAAATACTTAGTATTCAGTTAAATATATGTAAAATTGAGATTTCTAGGCTTGTGCTAATAGTGAATTTTAGGTTTGAAGTGAATAGTGATAAAGTCGAGCCCGCTTATAACGAACCTGAGCGTGACGTGGCATCTGTTCGCTCTATCCCGAAGTTCGTAGTAAATGAAACACAAACTTTTTTTGCCTCAAAAAGTCCGTAATGCACGTGTTTCGAAGAGCAGAAGCGATAAGGGCGGTCTCGAGTTCATTTAAAACGGCAGGGTGCTCGTTCGCCGAGGCCCGTGACATAAGCTGCATGAGGCACTGACTCCAAAGTTTCGTCGTTCTCGCAATCCGATTCCTCCAAATCGCTCTTGCCATGTACTTCATTCACAATGCCCTAATTCGCACAGGTTCCGCAGTGTCGGCATCATCATCGGCCGTAATTAAACCATCGCAACAGATGGCACACCCGCTCTCCCAGGTTGGAGTCGACGAAGTGCTGCCACAAATCGCCGCCGCAATGGTCCTGTTTGGAAGCTTCAGACTCGGCATCGGGCCCGACGTCGACCAAGTCGGCCTCGCGAAAACAGTTTCGCCCTCATGTGGCCGTCACCGCCGCCCACGAAATATCGAAGCGGCAAGTTGTCTGCCAGGTGGCCAACAGCTATGAGCAAGCGCTCCGTAACTCGGCACCTAGCGCGCGGATTACGCTCAAGCCAAGCGGTCACACTTTCGACGTTTTGTTGAGCGGCAGGAAAAAGCAAAAAGTTCGTTTTAAGTGGGGCCGTTATATGTGGGCTCGACTGTATTGGTCTAATAATTTCAAATTGAATTCGAATAGCATATGTCACATGTTTAAAGGAAAATGACCATATTTATTGTGACCTAACTAATCTGCTTAATATGTTAAATTAAAATAAGGCCTGTGCAAATGATGAATTGATGTGAGAGTGATATGGTAATTAAACATTGAAGTGCGGCTTCCCGACAATGCAGACTTTCATTAAGTAGGTGTTTTCACAGTTTAGCATTTTTGAACTGCAGTGAAACGACCTTTACAGGAAAATTACACGCGACTTAATATAGAGAGATTTGTTCATTTCGACCAAAATTTTCAATAATTTAAATTCGAATCGAAGTGAATTCGAATACTGTGATATTCGTTTGATTATTCCAAGCACTCGAATATTCACACAAGCCTAGAGTTCTCACATCTATTGCATGCATTGTGGCTTTTCAGCTTTTGTTGTTGTGAGCGTGTTGGCATATGTGCTACCATTTGTACACGTGAGCGCACTCACCTCCAGGTATGACATCACACCGCACAGGAGTGAGCTTCCTCCGGAACCCATCGAGGACAAAAACAACTACAACATTGAGGACCTCAGTTCCGGCGACGAAACTGATGATGATGAGAAACCACGCAAGGAAGTCCCTGCCTGGGCTAAAGGTGAGACCGCTCCCTGGCCGAAACTGGCCTTCCTATGGGATTGAAAATATTGACGTTCTTTCTCGTCGACTCTTCCCGGATTTTTAAATTACGATGTACACTCTTTACTTCCTGGTCTTTTAAGGTACCATCTAATGTTCTATTTGAAGGAGCTTTATTTATTGAGAGATTTAGAGAGAATACTTAAGTATAAAACCAGCATTAAAGGCAGGTATTCCATTTAAAGGGGCCTTGCTCAGGATTGCAACAGCTGCGCCAATTTGATACAATTCCAGATCGTTGTGCCAAGCTGCGCTGAAACCATGAAATTTGCTGAAATTGTGCCGCACTGCACCAAAATGCTCAGCCAGCCTCAAAATTTTCTCAGGCTAGCTCATTTCGGCGACAAATCCAGACCACGTCGGCCACCTGCAGTGTGCGCCATTAGTCAAACCGCGCTGACCCTAACTATAGTGCCTATAATATTGTCACGGGGTCGTGACGTGGCCGAAGACAGGAGACTTCGTGTCGGGATTTAACTGTTTATTTGGGCGAACCTGTGCCCGGTAAACAGAAAGTCTAATTACAGCAGCAGTCTCGCACAGATAGCAGTCTCAGACTGATGGCGGCGAACGGAGCGTCGGCCTTCGATCAACAATTGACAAGCGGCGAAGCGCGTCGGCATTTATACTCTTGCCGTCGAATGTTCTAGCGCTACCGCTGGCGGCGGCGTACGTTCCAGAACAATCTGTACCATTCGCACAGTGGGCGTGATCTTATCGAAATGATCTACTACAGTCCGGAACCCTCTCGAAAACTGCAGGCGCGGTTTGCGCTGAGAATCGTGTGGTGTTTTGGGACGATAACAAAAGCTTGGGAAATGGAACGTGGCATTGCCCCCCTCTGAAAAAGGCATCGTCTCGATGCTTTAACTAAAGATGAAGGTACAATAATAATGCAAGAAAGTACAATGAATAAATTACGATACAACAATAATACCAAAAAAAGCACTGTTTCAGTTTGTTAACGCGCATGAAACGGCTTGAGGCGTGCGACATGGACAACTTCAGGTCGCGATCGGCGTCGTTGAGAGTTCGTGATGCCGTCGGGGACAACCTCGTAATCAAGTGGGCCGAGACGTCGAACCACCCTGTACGGTCCGAAGTACCGTCGCAGAAGCTTTTCACTTAGTCCACGTCGGCGTATCGGCGTCCACACCCAAACACGTTCACCGGGCTGGTATTCCACGAAGCGTCGTCGAAGGTTGTAACGGTGGCTGTCGGTCGTCTGTTGATTCTTGATACGGAGCCGCTCAAGTTGTCGGGCTTCTTCGGCGCGTTGAAGGTACTCGCTCACATCGAGGTTTTCTTCGTCAGTGACGTTGGGTTACATGGCATCGAGCGTCGTTGCCGGGCTCCTTCCGTAGACCAATTTGTATGGAGATATCTGCGTCGTCTCCTGCACCGCCGTGTTGTATGCGAAGGTCACATACGGAAGAATGGCGTCCCACGTCTTGTGTTCGACATCGACGTACATTGACAGCATGTCGGCGATCGTCTTGTTAAGCCGCTCGGTGAGGCCGTTGGTCTGTGGGTGGTACGCTGTCGTCCGGCGGTGGTTTGTTTGGCTGTATGCCAAGATCGCTTGAGTTAAGTCGGCAGTGAATGCCGTTCCTCTGTCGGTGATAAGGTCCTCCGGGGCGCCGTGACGTAGGACAATATTTTCGACGAAGAACTTAGCTACCTCGGATGCACTGCCTTTTGGCAGGGCTTTTGTCTCGGCGTAGCGGGTGAGGTAGTCGGTAGCTACCACGATCCACTTGTTTCCGAAAGCCGACGTCGGGAACGGCCCCAGTAGGTCCATACCAATCTGCTGGAAAGGTCGGCAAGGTGGATCAATTGGCTGCAGAACTCCCGCTGGCCTTGTCGGCGGTGTCTTGCGTCGCTGACAGTCCCGGCATGTCGTCACATAACGAGTGACGTCGGTGGTAAGACGTGGCCAGTAGTACCTTTCTTGTATCCTCACGAGCGTGCGAGAAACACCGAGGTGCCCTGCCGTCGGATCGTCGTGCAGGGCCTGCAGGAGTTCTGGTGGCAGAGCTGAAGGCACCACAAGGAGGTACTTAGCTCGAAGCGGAGAAAAGTTTTTCTTTTGTAGGAGACCGTTTCGTAGGAAGAACGACGCAAGTGCGCGCTTGATTACCTTCGGGACTTCGGCGGTCCTGCCTTCGAGGTATTCTATTAGGGCCTTAAGTTCCGGGTCGGCCCGCTGTCGTTCAGCGAAGTCGTCTCTAGTTATCGTTCCCAAGAAGTAGTCGTCGTCCGGGTCGTCGGGTAGCGGTTGGTCGACAGGAGCACGAGAGAGACAGTTGGCGTCGAAGTGTTTTTTGCCGGACTTGTAAATGACAGTAATGTCATATTCTTGAAGTTTCAGGCTCCATCGTACGAGGCAACCTGATGGGTCCTTCAAAGTGGCTAGCCAACACAAGGCGTGGTGGTCGCTCACAACTTTGAAGGGCCTGCCGTAGAGGTATGGGCGAAATTTCGACGTAGCCCAGATGATGGCGAGGCACTCCTTTTCTGTTGTGGAATAATTTCCTTCTGCTTTGGATAGCGATCGGCTGGCGTAACTAATAACCCTTTCAAGTCCGTCAGCCTTCTGCACAAGAACGGCGCCAAGACCTACGCTGCTTGCGTCAGTATGTATTTCTGTCTCGGCGAATTCGTCGAAATGGGCAAGTAACGGAGGCGTCTGGAGGCGATGTTTAAGCTCCTGGAAAGCGTGTTCCTGTGGCGTTTCCCACTTGAACTCCACGTCGGCCTTAGTAAGGTTAGTGAGAGGATTGGCGATGCGGGCGAAGTTTTTCACGAATCGCCTATAATAGGCGCACAGGCCCAGAAATCGGCGCACGGCTTTCTTGTCAGTGGGCGGCGGGAAGTCGGCGATGGCGGCTGTTTTCCGTGGATCGGGACGAACTCCAGACTTGTTGATAACGTGCCCCAGAAACAAGAGCTCTTCATACGCAAATCTGCACTTTTCTGGCTTCAGTGTGAGTCCGGAAGTCTTGATGGCTTGAAGTACAGCTTCAAGGCGCCGAAGATGCTCGTCGAAACTCGAGGAAAACACGACGACGTCGTCCAAGTACACAAGGCAAGTCTGCCACTTCAATCCTGCCAGTACTGTATCCATAACGCGTTGAAAAGTTGCAGGCGCTGAGCAAAGGCCGAAGGGCATCACCTTAAACTCGAAGAGGCCGTCCGGTGTTATAAATGCCGTCTTCTCTCGGTCTCTTTCGTCGACTTCGATTTGCCAATAGCCAGTCTTGAGGTCCATTGACGAAAAGTACTTGGCGTTATGGAGCCGATCAAGTGCGTCGTCTATTCGTGGGAGAGGATACACGTCCTTTCTTGTGATTTTGTTCAGGCGGCGATAATCGACGCAAAAACGTAGGGTCCCATCCTTTTTCTTCACTAACACCACGGGGGATGCCCATGGGCTCTTGGACGGCTGGATAATGTCATCCCGCAGCATTTCATCAACTTGTCTCTTCATGGCCTCACGTTCTCGCGTCGAAACTCTGTACGGACTCTGACGGAGTGGTCTGGCATTTTCTTCGGTTATGATGCGATGTTTCGTGATTGGGGTCTGCCGAATTTTCGATGACGACGAAAAGCAATCTTCGTATTGCAGGAGCAGGGCCTTGAGCTGTTCTTGCTTATCGTTCGAAAGTCTGAGATTGACGTTGAAAGCTATGGGAGGGGCTTGGTTCCTCTGAGCAGGTTCCGCAGAATCGTCGAGGGCGAAAGCACTGGTGGCTTCGACAATTTCTTCGATGTATGCGATCGTTGTTCCTTTGTTCACATGTTTGTACTCATTGCTGAAATTCGTGAGCATAACCGTTGCTTTGCCTCCCCGCAGCTCTGCAATTCCTCTTGCGACGCAAATATTTTGGGTGACCAACAGATGCTGACTGCCTTCAACGACGCCTTCCAAGTCAGGTGATTTAGGAGCGCCGACTGAAATAATGACGCTTGAGCGAGGCGGAATGGTGACTTGTTCTTCCAGCACATTCAAGGCATGGTGTCCTGACGGCGTGCGCGGCGGTAGTGCTCCTTCTGTGGATAACGTTATCGACTTCGTTTTTAGGTTGATGACAGCACCATGGAGGCATAAGAAGTCCATGCCAAGGATGACATCTCTCGAGCAACGCTGTAGGACTACGAAGTCTGTAGGATAAATACGGCCGTTAATGGTGACTCTCGCTGTGCAGATTCCTGCAGGCGTTACGAGATGACCTCCGGCTGTGCGGATTTCAGGGCCTTTCCAAGCTGTCCTAACTTTCTTCAACTTCGCGGCGAACGACCCGCTGATGACCGAATAGTCGGCTCCAGTATCGACGAGAGCGGTCACACTGTGGCCGTCGATAAGAACGTCGAGGTCACTAGTTCGCCGTCTCGCATTACAGTTTGGGCGTGGCGTCGGGTCACGGCTGCGTCGACTTGTTTCGCTGCTTCCATGTTGCGTCATCAGGCCACCTTTGGTAAGTGAGCTTTCGCCGTCAGGGCTTTGGCTGGTTGGCGTTGTGTTCGGAAAGCTCCGTCGCGGCGGCGTCGTCGGAGGAGGATCTTCGGTAGTTCGTCGCACAGCAACCGCACCTCCACCGGTTGCTGCCCTTAGTTTCCCGGATACGGGCTAGGAGACCGGCCCCGCGTTGGGCCAGAGTACTGTCGGTGGTGCGGTGACGTGCGGCGGCTGGGCGACGGCGAACGCGAAGGGCTTCGTGGTGTCCACCGAGTTCCTGTCAGGTAGTCGGCGATGTCACGTGGTCGTTCTCCTGGCTGTGGGCGTGGTGCATTGACGGCGAAGCCACGCAGTCCCATCTGTCGGTACTGGCATTGGCGGTATGTGTGTCCAGCCTCGCCGCAGTGGTAGCAGAGCGGGCGATGGTCAGGGGTGCGCCAGACGTCAGTCTTCCTCGGTGCACTGCGCTGGGCCGTTGGCGAACGTAATGACGTCGGTGG